AAAAAAAAAAAAAAAAAAAAAAAAAAACACATCATAGTAAAATTAATACCTTCTCCGCTTCGCATCGAAGCTAAAAAACGTAAATAAATAAACTATTTATTTATACACAACTCTATTTTATGTAAACGAAATTTTCTTGAGATGGTGATCTATATTAAAATATATGGATCTCATATAGCTCTTAATCCAAAGAAGTTTATCGATTTTAAAAATCTTAAAGTTTTGAAAATCCCTTTAATTTGGTATAATATTTTTAAAAATTGAACCTTTATCTGCCGAAAGGGGGTTCAAAGTAACAACTTTTGAATAAAAAGTTTGTTTTTTAATTAAACTTTTCAAAATGTTCCAGAAATACTCTTAGATCCAACCATATATTAAATTAAAGCTTATGTTTCATACTATGAGTTAACAAATTATTCTATGTGCAAAAGATCACCGTAAAGAAAAAATATGATATTTTTATAATGAAACTTTCGATCTTAGAATTTAGATATTAAATTTAAATTGTTATTGAATTTTAATTTGAAAAATGTATGGATTTATGCAATTTTTTTTATAAGTACTTTTATCCGGCCAATTTTTTTTTAAATCGGATCAATTCCCATGTATAAAAGTTGCTCAAAACTTATATATGCGTATCCTTTAGGTCAAACAGTATAGATATAGATATAAAAATGGGTATGTATCCTTACATTTTTTTTTTTTTTAAATAAAAAAGATTTAAGTGCTTGTTAAAAATATTTCATAGAAAATGTTTGTGTCTTTTAATGTAAATTTAAGTATATTAAATGAAAGGGGGCTTCCCTTACAAAAATTATTCTAGCAATCAATGATTCATGATGGCATTTTAAATTTCAAGATTAAAATAATAATTCTTCTTCTTCTTTATCTTCCTCACCTTAATCCCAACTACTTGTTGTCAGCCACCCTTATCCTAAACTTTCACTATGTTCAGGATTCCTCATACTTTTTTTGACAAAGATTTTTACGCTGACTGTCGACCTGACACAACCTCATTAGTCGCCTCTTACGACTGGCAGAGGGGCCGTGAAAGTATTCTTATCACACAGGGAAAGACTAAAATAATAATTAATTAAGAATAATCAAATTAAAAAAGTTAACTATTTTTTTTTTATATATATAAATCCATAATTAAAATTTTAAATACAAATTCCCTGTAGAGGTAACAAAATATACTAATACTTTATATATTTTTTAATTTCTCAGTAAAAATTACAATACAAAGTATTCAATTTCAATTTCGTACTAAATTTAATTTCTATAATACATATTTATTCATTTATTATACTTACAAATATAATTAAGGAAACAGGATTTGATGTTTCTTTTGGAAAAATCCAACAATTTTTTCTAAAAAAAAAATGGTAGCACAGTGTGAGCATGACATAGTTAGGACTAGTATAGATGATATCTGACAGTAATTTAAATCACTATCTTAAGAAACGCTTCGATACAAATCTGTAGATATTGTTTAATTTTAAGAAACTGATGGATTATTCAAAAGCAAAATTCTGACTCAAAAATAACAAAAGAAAAATTGCAAAAAAATCATTTCCATATGCAATGATTTTTATTGAATCAAATAACGTTCGTCGCATTCGTTTTTAATAAAATTGGCAACTTAAGCTGATTCAAATTTTAAAATTAATTTTTTTGACTTAAAAGAAAAAAAAAATTGAAATAAGTTTAACTTTATATTCTATGTCAATTAGTTTTATACAATATTTATGAAAATCAGTTTACTCCATTATAAGGTATATTAAAATAAATTAAGATACAATACCAAGAATTTTAACACGAATATAGCATATTTTTGAATATGATAACCATTTTCACTATATCTCGAAATTTTTTTTTTCATAGTATAGTATATTACATAACTTTTAATTTAGTTAAAAACGTTTAACTTATGTGTAAAATTTGTTATTTTGAATGCCCCCTGTGGTCAGGTCAAAAGTTATATTTTCAAAAAATGTATATCAAATGAAAGAAGGAAACATATAGTTTTTATGAAAAAATAATTGTATTGATCCAAACATTTTTGGAAAAGTTATAGTAATTTAAAGTTGAAAAAGTAAAATATGAAATCGTAAATTTTAACACCAAAATTTCATGTTTTTTATTTACGGCAACCGTTTTTACATAGAATATAAGTCTTTGGAACAAAATTTTTTTTTAACTTATAGTGCATAACATTGTAATAATACAAAAATAACAAAAAATGATGTTATATGTTAGGGTGTTTTTGACCAAAAAAGACCCAAGATTGGGGATTTGGTCAATTGGTGAGCAAGGAGGTTCTATCCGGGTTGTAGAGTTTGAGGGTTTATAACAATAAAGACAAGTTGATATAAAAAGTAATGATTAAGGTTCTACTTATAGAGATATTGTAAATGATTCAACTAGTAAGTATCTGTAATAATACACTGAGGCAACGAAGAGGCGGTGGCCATCTCACGAATACCATGTAATGTGATTATGTATAAGGTCCGAACTAGTTAATAATAATTAATTGGAGTTTAAAGATTAATATAATTATTTGATCTATTGCTTTATCGTTCTATACTCAGATTATTAATTCTAAATAATTGAATTATAAGATAATATAAGTATTGACTCTTAATGATTTAAAGTCTTACCTGAAGATTTTCCTTGTTTTAATAATAACTTTTGACAATATCAGGTTATAATAAAATAACACGAATTCAAATGTTTAGTTTATAAATTAACAAGCAATAATTTCACAATGATGATTACGAACTTTGCGTATCGATGTTGAGAGCGAGGTTCGAACAGCTCAATGAATATTTAGAGACAGACTCTCTCAAGCCCTGAGCACTCAGCCCTTTTATAGTGTTTTTTTTATCCCCACACAATCATCATTGTGTCATTCTCGCAATGTTGCTATTTTATTGACAAGTCATCATAAAATATATGAATTAATACATTAAATACATTAATACATGCGAATAATACACAAATCATTTCGACACTTCATATTATATTATTATAGTTATTTAAAAAGAGCTGACAAGTATAATTTATGAATTTTCTCAAAGAAAAAACAAACATGTTATTCTAAGCTTATGAATATAATTTATAAATAAAAGTGTTAATAATTTTTAAATGAAATATTAAATGAACGACCATTATTGTGGGCAGAAACAGAGCAGTCCTCTGTTATATCATATTGTGATAGTGTCGAGTGTATTATGACATCCGCCCCGATTTTTTTAAATGTTGTGTCCTCACAACTGAAGTATAAGGGTGGATAATTTTGTGAATAAAAAGTAATACAATAAAAATTAATTTTGCAATGTGAAAATTAAATTAAAGTTATTAGACATTTCTGAAAAATATTAATAGTGATTTGATTGTTATGTATATTACAGCACATGGTATGAATTCATTTAGTTTTTTTTTTGTAAAGTATTAAATATATCATATATAGTTTTCCCAAATATATAAAAAAAAAAAATAATAGTAAATATTAGTAAAATAAATAGTAATGATAAATATGAAAAAAGTAAAAATTATACCATGGGTATAATAACAATAATAATAATAACAATAATATAGTTATGTAAAACATATGATTATGAATATAACATAATTATAATGATAATAATAATATCGTAGTGATAATAGATATAAATATATATGGTTAATATGTAAGTAATAACAAGTAATGTTGATAAATATCAATTCAATAAATGAATATAAATGTGTGTTACAATGTAAAAATAAAGAATACATATATATATATAGTTTTTGAAATTGAGAATATAATGTTAAACATGGTTAATTATTATATTGATTATTTTGTCTATTGAGCTTACTTTTTTTATTAATAAATTGATGTCTGGTGTTTAAAATTGGTTTTGGAAATAAGTAGACCGTTTGTCCATAACGCCAATGTAGAATTTAGTAGTGTCATACTGGATAATTTCGTCATATTGCATCATGATTGGTTTTCCTGTATATTGTGGAGTTCTGTAGACAATGACAGGGATGTCAAGAATTTCATCAGACATCTCGCACAATTGATTGATTGATATCTGGATAAATAAAAGAATGAACTTTTAATTGTGCGTGAGGTGTGTCTCTGTTTGTTGTATTTATGTTTTTCAAGTTAACATTATTTGTGTTGTAATGTTGTTGGTGATTTTGGTGCATAAAGTAATGAGTTATACTATTGAATATACCACAGAGTAATCTTAAACTCCAACCAAATGTGTTGTATAACAAATGTACATTCATGCAAGAATTAATGATAATGGTTAGAATTTTAATTGTAAAAATAATGCCTAATAGTCCAGACATAAATGAACCAAAATGTGTGATACATCCCCACATTTGATGTAATTTATCCTCTACCATTGAACTTATAACTGATAAATCAATAAGTTTGTGTAGATTTAGTTGGTTAGTTACTTCATATCCTAATGTTTGACGAACAATGTTGTTTTGTATTGTTGTAATTTCTTGAGCGAACATTAGGTGTTTTTGTAATGCTTGCATTACATCTCGATTATAAATACCAGCGGACATTAAGTATTCCGGGGATTTATAATTCCATGTGAATTTCGTTTCGGGTTTTAATATTTGTGGTGTTTTAACGTGAATTAAAAGTGGATTGAGTCCAAACCATTCTCCATCTAAGAAGTTGGCGCATGGTAATCTATTGTTACAAGTAGTTTCTGTTTCATATTTTTGTAATATGTATGATTTTGGTGCCATGAAAAATGAGTGATTTTGATGTATGACAACATCTGAAAACATCAGTTACAACTGAAACTGGTCTGCATTTCATGAGGTAGATGATTTCTCCACTGGATATTGCCATACAACCAGGAGTTTCACACATAGCATAGGCAAATTCTGCCAAACTGTATGATGCTAGGGATAATTGTTGCATTAATATTTTTCTTTCTATGTTGCATTGTTTTGTTGTAATTTCGATGTATAAATCATTTAATGATCTTGCAATATGAAATTCAACCCAAACGAATTTTGTGTTGACATATGAAATTAAGTCTGTGTGTTGGGGAGAAATGGTTTTTAATTTGAAGTTCTCTAAGTGTTGCGTCTGCGCCACAATGTATAATTGAGGATGTTCTGTTTGTACAACGGGTATACCACAGGCTTCAATGTTTTTTAAATATTTTAATGCAAATGCAATCCCTTGTGTTTCAACAAGGAAGGTCCTTGTTTCATCAGTTGGATTAGAAAAAGATTTTAATGATATTATTGATGCTGGGCCGTCATTAAAACAACGTAGTCCAAATAACAGTCTTGAGAATTTGTATTCCACATGACTTCACCTTTGGTTGAGTCAAAACCATATGCTTCTGAAAGTGTGAATCGTACACCATTTAGTAATTTTACGGAGTTTTCTTTATAGTTTGCTGTGGCATATCCTTCTGTTAAAGTGATTTCAATCTTTGCTTATACTATAGCTTTATGAAATGTACCTCTATTAGTGATAAAAGTAGTACCTTCACAGTTGTCTTTATGGCCAATGGATCCAGCAATTTTATAAGAAGCTTGAGTTGTATGATTAATTTTCATACTGTGTATTATTCCTCCTAATGGTAATTGATAGAATAATTTTTTATGAATTTCTTTACATCGTACGATGCCTACTTCTGATATTTCTGAGTAATAACCATCAGGAAGGGCCCGTAGATCATCAAATGTTGAGCATTTAAAAATTAAATAGTCTATGGATATGAGACAGGTTCTGTAGTAAATGGCGTGCGTTTCCGCTTTCTGTAATAATTTAATTCGATCTATTTTTATTGTTTTTGTTGGCCGTGGTTTTTCTCGCATTGTTCTACTGAAAGACTACTAAATGACGTTATGTTCAAATGATCCGCCGAACAGTCGTATGCAATGATTGATTGAGCTTCAATGAACACAGTTGAGAATATGATTGGTAGTAGCAGATTCAAGTTTACCTTTATGTTATATAATATGAAATTAAAAATGTATATAATTTTAAATTGGATGTAAATTTTTTTTTTAAACAATTTATTCCAAATATATCTATAGGAAAATTGTAGTTCATAGTAATCTATTGTTTCCTTATAATATGGCGAATAGAGATAATTATTAAGTATCAGAAATAATATTACACTAATTGTGCTATACTTGGTTTGCTACAATATGAATATATTGATACTAGAGATAGAGAGAAAAAAAATGTTGTGTGTGTTTTTTTTTTTTTTTTTTTAAGATAAGTATATTAAAAAAAAATTTTAAAAGGAAAAAAAAATTCTTTAAAAATGATTGAATATTGAATATAAATTATATTGAGAAATCAGGAAATAATAATAATTTTCAAAAGGATATCATTCGACTTTGACTATTATTGCTATGCTATATTATTAAACACATGAAAATTACACGATAGATTTTTAATGTAATGTCCCTTCTTCTTTTTTTTTTTATTTGTATGTGATAAAATAGAATAATAAAATAATAGAATAAATGCAATGTAAATAAATTAAAAGTAATAATGTAATAAAGTATTTATGACATAAAATAGTATCTCTAAAAGTTAAGTGATTAATATTAGATTTGAATAAAATAATTTTATGTTAAGTATAACATTGTATATAAGAGTAAAAGTAATATATAAAAATTAAATCTAAAAATTCAAAGTAATATATAATAATAGGAAGGAAGTGGTATATTGCCCCATAAAGACTTCAATTACATCACTACATTATAATAAGAGTATTCCAATCCTCCTCAGAAATCGAAGCATCCCCGTATTTAAAATAATCGAACTTCTCAAAAGGAAGAAAGATCTTTGCATAATCTATGCACTCTGCAAGAGTGGTGCAGAATTCAAATGATATGAATTCATAAGATATAGCTTTTTCGATTGTAATAATGTCATATTTAAGAATGAAATTTTTATAATCTAGTGTTCTATCATGACTACACGTTTAATTTGCATTTAAAGAATCTGAACTATTTAGATATGTGAATGCCCATGGGTCATTAGAAATAGATCCTTTTCTTTCGATTATTAGGTAATATTTACTTAGAATAGACAAATCTGTAAAATTTATGTTTGCTTTTTTTATGAGTATCAAGAAAATTATGTGATTCCAATAATTTTTTGTTGTGATTGGGTATTTTTATTTTTTATTATGTTTTTTAGTCAAACTTCTACTAAGTAGTCCCCCTTCCCAACACATATGTCCATCATCTGACGGTATATTGGGTCTAAACTTAGCACTATACCACCTCCTCATGTCCAACTCCACAACGCACCCAGCATAAATAGCTATTTCCCTAGCCAGAAATGATATCGGTCTCGATTTAAAATAATGGATTACATTCTGAGTCCATTGATAATTATATTTTGAGAGGTGATAATTATGTACCATAGTCTTTCGATGATTTTCGTTAAAGGAACATTAGGGGCATAATTGTTTTACGTCACACACTCTTTGAACCTTCCTCCAGAAAGTTTTTTTTACGAAATAAATCCCATGACAAGATGGGTCCATACTATAATAACACAGAAGAAAATTATAAAATGACTTTCCTTGATATATGTGTATTAATGATGTAATGTTATTACTTTAAGAGAAATTGTGGTGGTTACAACTCTATAATATTATTTTATATGAGTTATTGTAAGTAAAAGAAAAGAAAATTTTTTTGGGTTTTTTAAATGTAAAAATGTTATCTCATTAATAAGGTAGTATATTGAAAATGTGAAGAATTTTTATTTTATTTACATTTATGTAACTTATGAGTTTACTTAATTACTATTTCATAAAACTTTAGATTTGTCAACAATTTTTGTGTTTATTTAAAATGTATGACATACATTTTAAATAGACATTGTGTTTACAATAGAATATGATTTTACCTTATTATAGAAACACACCACTGGTACAAATTGTGAACGTTGCGAGACAGGATGGTATCGACCGTTTGATATAGAACCTGATGATCCTGAACCATGCTTACCTTGTGAATGTGATGTAGAAGGGTCTGATGGGACATGTGTTAGCAGTAATGACACTGTAAATAACATGTAATTTAATTTAATATATTTTTACTATCTTGTATTTATATTTTAGGGAATTGGATTATGTAACTGTTATATAGGTTACACGGGTGCTAGATGTGATGAATGTGCTCTTGGATATGATGGATTCCCTGATTGTAAGCCCTGTGCATGTGATGATCGAGGTATCAAAACACCTCCTCTATCTTGTAATAGTCAATGTGATTGCAAAGTAAGTTGTATGCACAAATTTTATTTATACAATTGTATTTGTAATATTTTTTAAATATAACGATAATGTTTTACAAATTTGACAACTAGGCGAGATAAATTTTTGTTTAAATAGTAGGAGGAGATTCTTTCAAAGATATTTTGGTTCTTTTTATTTACACAATTATTTTAGGAACATTTTTTAAGGATTAATGAAAACATTATTATAATATTAATTTTTTTTTCAAAGGATCATGTAGATGGTGATAAATGTAATCAATGTAAATCAGGATATTTTAATTTATTGGGATCTAATCCAAAAGGCTGTGATAAATGTTTCTGCTCTGGTGTGTCCTTGGCATGTACCACATCTCTTGGTTTGAAAGAGATGGTTGTAAGTATATTTTATCTTAATAATAATGAATATTCTCGGTTTAACTTAAATGCAGTATTATATTATATATATATTATATATATATATTATCATATTTTATTAGTTTTATTATTATACAGCTATTTCATTCCTTTTTTCATAATATTTTATAGATAAACCAAACAGATGGATGGCATATAACAGATTTAAAACTATCAAATATTATAGAACCATCAAATGATACTGATATAGGACACCTGTTTATTAATAGTTTTGATGTTCCATTTGATCTTGATACTGTATTTTATTGGATGTCTCCTGAATCATTTAATGGAAACAAGTTAGCGGCTTATGGATCAAAGCTCAAATATTCAGTTTCATGGGCTATTATGAGAGGTGATTCAAGTGGTAAAGATATGTTTGATCCAGAAGTTATCATAATTGTGAGTAAATATTAATATTCTTTCAGTCGGGGTGTCATTCCAATTTTTTTTTTTTTTTTTTTACACATTAATATTATAGACATATAATGGATGTGTTGCAGCATTCACAATTTTAAAATACAAACAGTATGTGGAAATAACATTTTTTATGATTTTTTGATAGTAAAAAAATGATAATAAGGCAAATCAACAGATGTTAATATAATTTATAGTTCCTTTTACTATAGTTTTGTATAATTCCACAGGGAAAAAAAAATGTTTTAATTGCTCTTAGCGAAAGAAGTTCAAGGATGGGTAATGAAGTTAAAGGTGACATCAGCTTAACAGAAAAAAATTGGTTTTATATTACAAAAGATTTTAAAAATCTTGAAATACCTATTGATAACACTGGTGTATCACGTGATCAATTTCTCTCAATATTGTCGGACATCAAATACATTCTTATAAAAGCTAAATATCATACTGATCAAGTAGAATCTAGGTTAGTAAGTAGTTTTCATTAACTTTTTTTTTTTTATTTTATTTTAATCAATTTAAATTTTAGCTTAAATGAAGTTACTCTTGGATTTGGTAGTGTTAATGGTACTGGGCGCATAATTTTAGATGTAGAAAATTGTACATGCCCTATAGGCTATTCTGGACTTTCATGCGAAACATGTGACTATGGATTTGTGAAGCAAATTGATTCTTATACATCAGAAGTTCTTTGTAAAAAGTGCGATTGTCATGGACATTCTCCAGAATGTGATCAACTTACTGGTCTTTGTTCAGTTAGTAAAATTTTAGAAAAATTACTTGAATATTATACTTAATGTTTTTTGTTATTATGTTATGTAGGTTTGTGAACACAACACTACAGGTGCAAGGTGTGATGAGTGTCTTCCAGGTTTTTACGGTAATGCAAAAGAGGGAAAACCAGATGATTGTAAAAAATGTTCTTGCCCTCTAGAAGCAGACTCAAATAATTTCAGTGGTGCATGTATGATAAATTCTGCAGGGGGTTATATCTGTACTGAGTGTCCAGAAGGATATTCCGGCATTCATTGTGAAGTGTGAGAAACTAAAATTATTTTTTATGCTACATATTCAGTTAATATTTTCCTTATCTGATTTTAGTTGTGCTCCTACATATTATGGAAATCCTTTAATTAAAGGTTCAATATGCAAACCATGTGACTGTAATGGTGCTCCATGTGACAATATGACAGGAGAATGTACTAACTGTTTTGGTAATACTATTGGACTAAACTGTAAAGAATGCAAACCAGGACATTTTGGCAATCCAACTCTATCAGATTGTAGACGTATATATCACTCATTCAATATATAATGGCGAAATTATATGCATTTATAAATTTGGTTTAAGCCATTTTGAAGGATACCAAGTTTATGCAACTTTATCATAGGATTAATCATAGTGTGGTGAGCTGGGTTATCTAAGTCCAGTCTCAGGCACGCGGATAAGTGTAACCAGGAAAGAATCAAAATAATAAATATATTGTAACAATCGCTGATTAACACTGATCATCGATACGTTGATCAGAGCTGGTTATATATTAAAAGATGTGATTAAAACAAGGTTGTTATTACAATAATTAATATAAAAAACTAAACATTCATATTAAAATATACTTAACTATGGACTAATATTAACTATCGACAAACATTAAACTATTAACAAATGCCGCTTACGAAATCCTTTCCCTTAAAGTGAAATAATATGAAATGTTATTTATTACATTAGGTTTTCTACAATTTAATCATACAATTGACGTGACAATAGTTCAATAAACATAGAGAGAAAAAAAAACTTAATTAAAATTAAAATAATGAAATTATTAATTATTGTATAAGTTTTCTAAAAGTCCTCGTCTAAATCAAGTGTGGTAAACTCTACTCTCTAGTTCAGGGTTATTTACAATAGGATTTGGTTCTATAGCTAGTGGTATTTGTTCAGATTGTACTGTACGTCTATTTTTTTTTTTTTACAATACTTAACGTAAATATATATTATAAATATTGTTGTGGTTATTCCAATTATTTTAAAAAGTATATTATATATAAAACTATTATTATTATAAAATTCATATACATTTTTATGCGTGAGCAAATCACTAATTCGTTCTTGATATATTAATTGAGATTCTAGATTATTTAAGGCCGTTTGATCTAATTTAATATTTTCCATTTTTTCTAGATACAAGGGTTTTTGAATAGTTTTGTTGTACAAGTTGTTGCAACAAGTTGAATTTAGTAAACTAAATTCTAGGGGAATTGAAATTTGACTCTAGATTTGTTTGTGTAGCTTCATGAGTTACCGACGGTGTAATGGCTTTGCAGTTTTGTTTTAATGAAAGCCTACCGGTTTTCTTCACAACAATTTTTTTCACTATTGTGTTTGAGTCACATGAAATTGTAACAATAGTATCTTTAATCGTAACAAAATACCAATTATTTGGAAAATAAGAGCTGTATCATTTTTCTGAATATATTTCCGATACAAATACATCACATATGGATGGACGGCAAGGTGTATTTATTATTTAATAGTTCCGTTTCACAAGTTGGAACTTTTTCCGTACCAGATATGAAATCACTATTCTTACACACATATATATTATTAAGTATTTTACAATTATCTAAGTTATCTAATACTATATAGTGAGATACTAAATTATCAGTTAAAAGACATTTAATATTTCTAGTTAAATGTATAAATTGGTTATTAAAGGGTATGAATATTGGTAATATATGATATAATATATAGTTATTTACACTACTTAAGGGTAATTTAATAAGAGTTATTAATTTTTTATTATTATAAAATATTTTAACTTCAAGGATTTTAAAAATTTCATTTATGTTTTCAATATTAACGTTTATAGGTATTTGTAAAATATTTGGAATTTTAATAAAATATGGTTGATCTCATTAAAAAGTTGGTCTGGTGTAATAATTGGATGTAATTGGTTCTTTTGGGCAAATATTATGGCTAGGACCAATTTACTAAGTGTGTTTTCTAATGAATTTATATTATTTTCGATTAGAGACTGAGTAATTATTATATTTTCAAAATCTAAAGAATTAGTAGAAATATTTTGTAGTCCAGATATTGCATTAGAAATTTTACTTAAGTTATTATCGAATATAAATTTTTTATCATTAAAAGATGTAACGGATTCATTAAAATTAGAAATAGTACTTTTAATTATGGATCATGTACTTGATCATGTACAATTGTAAGGATGTCCTTCTCGTCATTATCAAGCTTATTAATCATGTTATCATAGCGTTTAACGTCCTCTGCGTCAACATTACCAAATAACCATTTGATAGCGCTACCTGCCCCTTCCCATGATCTTTTAACCTTATGGCGAAGTGTCAAATGCTTTATGTCATTAATTTGCGTTTCAATATTTTCATTCATACTTCGAAGGAGTTTATGATTTTTTTGAGATATTATGTTTTTGTTACTTAACGGTTCAATATTTCTTAACATATTATTAAATTCAATAGCCTTATTTTCTATTAATTCAATATTTATATAGGACGTAAAAGTCCAAAAAATTTTATAGACTAGCTTTACCTAACTTTTCATATACAATTCCAGGATTATCATTTAAATCTACTACATTGTAATTATTTTTTTCTATTATTTTGAGAAACAGTATCCTCCAATGCCCTAAAAAAAAAAAAAATAATATTTTCAAATTAATTATACGAAGATGATAATATATGGTCTTGTAAAGTTAATGTTGGTTTTGTTTTACTTAATTTTATAGTGCCGATATCTTTAGAAAAATATTTTTTTAATCTATCTGTGTACCTTAACGTTTTTGTTACCTATTTTTAGAGTTGCGTTGTCTTTGTCATTTAATTCGATAATTTTATAAGGGCCTTTAAATTTTGGACTAAGTGTACCTAGTGGTGATTCATTTTTTAATAAAACTAAATCATCAACATTAAGAATTTCTTTTTTCTCTTTAATTTTGGAATCATAATGTTTTTTTGTAATTTTCTTTATTTTTGATTTGATTTTGTTTAGCTATTTGGTGAGATGTATTTAATTTTAATTTTAAATCACTTAAAAAAGTCTTCGTATGAATATCTGAATTCAGGAGATTTTTTTATAGAAATAGGAATTCTTACAGTCCTACCGAACATAAGTGTTGCTGGAGGATAGTTAGTAGCATTGTGAACCATTGTGTTATAAGAAAACATTGCAGTGTCCAAATATTCATCCCAATTGCAATGGTTATCAACAAAATTCCATAAGTAGTTACCAATAACTTGATGACTTCGTTCTAAGGAGTCATTCGATTGAGGTCTATTTGAAGTGGTATTGATTTTTTTATTTTAAAAATTTTACACATATTTTTTATTAAATGAGATAGAAAATCAGCTCCTTAGCCAGAAAGAATAAATTTTGGAATACTAAATATACATATGAATTTATAAGCTAAAACTTTAGCTATAGAATCAGCAGTATGATCTTTTAAGGGGTACGCGAAAAGAAATTTACTTAAATCATCCTAGATAGTTAAAATGTATTTATTACTGTTTTCTGTAATATTAAGGGGGCCAACAATATCAACAGAAATATTTTCTAAGACTTCAGCTGATATTGTTGTAATAGACATAGGATTTTTATGTTTTTTGAAAGTTGCTATATTTTTTTGACAGAGATCGCAAGTTTTTATAAAAAATTTTACATCTTTTCTCATATTTTCCCACTTATAACCTAATTGATTAAGTTTTTTCATTTTTTTAGAGATACCAAAAGAGCTTCCAATAGGGTTTGAATGTATTTCATTTAAAAGTATATTTTTATCATATGTTTCCAAATTTATATCGTCATTTTGATCTAATTCTATTTATATGTCAGATTTTTTAAAAATCTGTTCAGATCCTTTAAAAATATACCTAAGCATTGATTTAAAGTGTTCCCAATTGATATTTTTATGTTTTGGAATAAATAAATGATTAATGTTTTTACTTAATAATAATTCCTTTAAGGTTTCTGTTTTGAAATAATTTAGGAAAATCATAGGAATCAAAGAAATTTAATTTATGATAAATGAGTATATAATTGTTTTCTAAAATTATTTAATTTTGATTACTTTTTACTTGAGGATTAACAATATTTTTAAATTCAAATCTATCGTTAATATTTACAGGGCAAAATAATACTATGTTCTTAATTTTAGTTGTTCTAGTTGTATCATTAGAATCTGTAATATTAGCTTCGATGCGAAGCTGAAAAGGTATTAATTTTACTATGATGTGTTTTTTTTTTATGTCTGTTGCCACTTTTTCTTAGCTCTCACTGGACCGATTTATTTCAAAAGTACGTCAAAAGATCACAAATCGTATCTAGTTGAAGACATTACCCTTAAAAATTGAAAAAAATTCCCTCGTTCCCCGCAAATGGGGGAAATATCCAAAAAAATTACAAATTTAAAAATCGCTAATTTTCGAAATTTTTTCATGTTTTTTTTTAAAACTTCCATAACTTTTTGAAAAATCAACAAATCAACATAATTTTTTTTTATACTAAAACGTTAGATATTTCCCTTTCATTTGATATCATTTTTTTGAAAATCTATCACTTAACCTACTCATTAGGTGGGGATTTAAAATAGCAACTTTTTTACAAAAATTAACTTTTTCAACTTAATTTTTGAAAATGTTCCGGAAATACTGCGTCCTTCAAACATATATCAAATCAAAGGTTATGTTATATACTATCAAATTAAAAAAAAAAATTTGTCCCGACATCTTATCTTTTATGTGCAAATGGCTGTTGAAAATTAAAAAAAAATGTAATGTTTGTGATAAAAATCACCTTCTATAAAAATGTTTTTTGTACTTAAAACTGCCATAATTTTTTCAAAAATGAACAATTAAAATTATATTTTTTTGTATTGAAACCTTAGAAATTTTCCTTTCATTTGATATCATTTTTTTGAAAATCTATCACTTAACCTGGTCAATGGGGGGGATTTAAAATAGCAACTTTTTTACAAAAAATAACTTTTTCAACTTAATTTTTGAAAATGTTCCGGAAATACTGCGTCCTTTAAACATATATCAAATTAAAGCTTATTTTAAGTACTATAAAATGAAAAAAAACATTTGTCCCGACGACCTATCTTCTATGCGAAAATGTCTACCGTATTCAAAAATATGCTATTTTAACAAAAAAATTTTTTTTAAATTAAACACTATCTACAGATTTGCATCGAAGCGTTTCTTATGATAGTGATTTTAATCACTGTCAGATATCATCTATACTGGACCCAACTATGCCACGACCCCACTGTGCCGCCACCCCACTGTGCTACCGTTTTTTTTTTATTTAATATTAGTTGTTTATTTTGAATATCTATAAAATTATTATAACTAAAAATTTTAAATATATCATTATTAGTTTCATTTTTTTTACTATTATTAATTAATTCATTTAAATTATCTGCTGATCTTGAAAGAGCGTCATCATTCGTATTATTAATTCCTTTTTTATAAATAATTTCAAAATTAAAATCTAATAATTTCAGTCTCCATCTCATAAGTCTAGAGTTTGGATCTTTCAAATTAAAAAGCCAAACTAATGCTTCGTGATCTGTTATGATTTTAAATTTAATTCCGTACAAATAAGGTTTGAAATGTTTAGTAGCCCAAACAATAGCAAGTAGTTCTTTTTCAGTGACCGTATACGATATTTCACTTTTATTTAGTATACGAGAAGCATATGCAATGGGCAAATCATTAGGCATATCGCCTTGACTAAGTACCGCTCCAATTGCATAATTACTCGCGTCTGTTGTTAAAATAAATTCTTTATCAAAATTTGGATATTGTAATATTGGTTCAGTTATTAAAATTTCTTTCAAATTATTAAATGCTTTAATTTTTTTAGAACCCATTTTAAACTCTATGTTTTTAGAAAGTAAAGACGTTAAAGGGTGAGCTGTTTTGGACAAATTTGGTATGAACCTTCTATAATATTCGGCTAAACCAAGAAATTATTTGATATCTTTAACGCATTTTGGAATAGGAAAATTCTTTACGGACTCAAATTTATCTGGATTAGGTTTAACACCTGATTCAGAAATAATGTCCTAAATAAGCAATTTCTTTTTTTAAAAATTCGCATTTGTCTGGTTGTAATTTTAAGTTAGCGTTTCTTAAAGCAAGAAATACGTCTTCTAATTTATTATTATGATCTATTAAACTACAACCATAAATAACTATATCGTCGATATATGCAAAACATTTAACTAGTAAAGAAACAAGTACAGTATTAATTAGACGTTGTAAAACAGCAGGTGCTTCTTTTTTTCCGAACGGTAAACGCGTGAAATGATAATGTTCATTACCTGAACTAAAAGCGGTTTTAGGAGCATCATTTGGATCTAATTTAATTTGATGAAAACTTGATGCTAAATCTAAAGTTGTAAAGTAAGATGCATTGCCTAATTGATCAAGAATTTCATTAATATTAGGGAGGGGATATGAATCTCCTACCGTGATATCATTAAGCTTACGAAAATCTACAACTATACGCCATTTCTTTTGTCCTGATGCATCTGGTTTTTTGGGGACAACCCATAAAGGTGAATTCCACGGGTATTTGATTTTTCTATAATACTTTGGTCTAAAACACTATTCAGTTGTTTTTCAACTTCCTCCTTATGACAGATAGGATATCTATATTGTTTTATATTTATAGGATAATCATTAGGAGTAATTATTTTGTGTTCCATTTTTATTATTTTATTAGTAAAAGATAATTTATCTCCTGGTAAGAAAAATATATCGTTAAATTTATGACACAAATCTTTAATAGAGGATTTTTCTTCAGTATTCAAATAATTTATTCTAATATTTTCATTCAAAAGGTTTATTCTATTATTATTGTTGGAATCAAGATAGTTGGTATTAATATTACTTTCATTTGGGAATTCGAAATTTTGAGGTAATTGGTCAAATTTAATATTATCAATGGAAATTGTAACATCTTCTTCCGACGTATTCAAAATAGGTACAATTGCGTAATTATTTCTAATTTGTGTAACACATGTTCCAATGAAAACATGGTCATTAACCTTAATTGGGTCATATATTATGCCTGTTGAATTTTCAATATTAAACGATTTAACTTTAATTACCGATTCCGAAAGACCTTTAATTGAGTAATTATGTGTTGGTAAATAATCTGTGATTTAAATTTTTTCACCAAAATAAAATTGTAACTCTTTCTTATTTAAATTAATGTATTTAACATAATCTTTAAGAAAATCATAGCCTAAAATACCATAAGACTATATTAAAATCATTAGTTACAATGTGAAATACATGAGTTATCATTGTATGTCCTATTTTAAAATTTATTTTTGTATATCCTAAACTGTTTGTTTTCCCATTTATGCCTTCTAGAGTTGTACATGAATTATCCCAATATCTATGTCCTTTGGGTAACTCTCCTATTTTTATTAGACTAGCTTGGGCTCCACTGTCAATCATAAAATTAATATTTTTACGAATATCAGATGAAAATAATTTACAATATGGAGTGTCAGTTTGAGTTGTATTTAAAATAGAAATTTGCTTTGAATCGTTAAAATTTATATTTTTACTTGTACTAGGCTCGTTTTTATAAGAATTTTTAATTTATGACATTCATCTTTTGTATGGAAATTTTTCTTACAATAAGTACAAAATTTATTGTTATTATTATTGTTACTGTTATTATTTCCTTTAAAATTATTTTTAGAATTATTATAATTATTATTATTATTATTATTGTTATTATTACGATAAAAACAATTTGAAGTGTCATGATTTTTTCTATGGCAAATTTTGCAATAATTATTAAAATTATTGGAAGTATTAGAATTATTCGAATTTGAGGAATATTTTAGAAGATTATTTTCCGTACTAATTCGAAGTTTCTCTTTTTTAGCTATATCAATTGCATCGCTAACATTTTTAGGATTATTAGTTAACACTAATATTTTAATATGGTTGTTATAATTACCTCTTTTAAATGCGCCTAAGGCTTGATCTTCGCACATATTTCTTATAGCTGTTTTTTGAATTTTACATTCTAATTTGTTAGTATAAGACTGATAAAGTTTTATATCTAATCTCTCTACTCTATCACCGAAATCATTAATTTTTTCATTTTTATATTGTTTAATTGTTTGTAATTCTACGTATAACTGATCAGGACGAATTTCTTCTCCGTAATTATCGATAAGAAGGAATTTTAATTCAGACCAGTCTTTTATTTCTACTGAATTGACAAGTTCTCTAGCTTTACCTTTAATTTTAAGTTTAACAGCTAAAAATAGTTGTTTATGCTGCTAATTTGTAGCCATAAGATAAGCATCGTCTACGGTACTTATAAAATTATTCAGTTTGTCTATTTTTCCTTCAAAAGGTTTGCCTATTAATTACGTTCATACAAAAATAGAGAATGTTTTTTTAGCCATATTAAAAAAGTAAAAAGAGAATTTAATTTTAATTTGAGGTTTTTAAATTTTAAAAGGTTAATTTTTTTTTTTTTTTTAATTTGAATCTTATAATACCAATATTTTACAAAAAGGGTATCTTATTTTACTTAAGCTTAAAATTAACTTAAAGCTAAGTACAATATAAAATATTACCAGAAAAGAGCTGTGAAAAATAAATATTTCATATTTTTCATATGTTGATGATCTCAAAATGAATTAGTCTTGTTCAATTGAAGCCAAATTTTTCAAAGATGTCGAATTGTCCTTTTGAGACGAATTTTTGTAGTGACATTTTGAGTTGAATTTACCGTGATGGCACTTGAGTCGACTTTACCAGGGATGCCAATTTATGTGGTGAGCTGGGTTTTCTAAGTCCAGTCTCAGGCACGCGGATAAGTGTTACCAGGAAAGAATCAAAATAATAAATATATTGTAACAATCGCTGATTAACACTGACCATCGATACGTTGGTCAGAGCTGGTTATATATTAAAAGATATGATTAAAACAAGGTTGTTATTACAATAATTAATATAAAAAACAAAACATACACATTAAAATATACTTAACTATGGACAAACATTAAACTATTAACAATTGCCGCTTACGACAATAGCATAATTTTTGTTTTTTGTTTTAGGTGTTAGTAAGGGGGATAAAACATTTAACCCCCAATATTATAACTTCTATAGAAATATATTGTTAAGTTTTAAATTCAATTAATAAAAATTTGTACTAGTTGATGGTGTGTTTGGAATAACTTAACATAATTTATAAATGCATATAAATCAGCGCCCTATTTATCAATTAATATTATAAGTTATTACTGTATTGTTTTTTATTACGTTAAATAGCATGTGATTGTCATCCAATTGGATCACTTACTACAGATTCTTGTAATATGGAAACAGGTCAATGTCAATGCAAAGAAAATTTTACCGGAAGAACTTGTGATCGGTGTGTGGTAGGTAGATATTAAATGGTATAATACTTTTTAATTGATATAAAAATTGTTATGTTGTGCAATAATAAAAAGCTTTAAATATAGCAGGGTGTTTAACTATAGTTGAACATAGTAACATAGTGTGTAAGCTAAATTTACAAGGATCCCGAGGTGGATCCTCCATGGGCCAAGGTAAAGCCGGAGCACCAGGGATTTTGGTAACTTACCCTAGGAAGAAAAGTTATAAATAAGTTTTGATTGAGTACAATTATTAAAATTTATTAAATATTACAAACAAATTAATTTTTTTTTTATCATAACATAACAAACGTATTTAAAAAAAAATTGTATATAAACAAATATGACCATCATGATCAGGCCGAAATGAAAAATATTACTCCATCATGAAATTGACGGGAACGGTAAAATTCATAATAATTGACAACATGAGGTTGTGCCAACAGGTGTGTAGATGACGAAAAGAAAAGTTCTGTTTAATATGATTTTTGAACATTACGGTGATTTTTTCACGCTTGATCACACACAGGAGAGGATACTTGACAGTGTGACCGTTGACAGATGTGGTATTAAGGATTGGTAGGTTATGATAAGGTCACAGGTGGTAGGAAACGTCTATTTATTAATAATTATGTGTATATGTGTAACACTGAATCTACAGATGTATGACGCGCACTGTTTGAATAGTTACCTGTGACCTTATACTCATGAACATTTTATTACGTTCAAGTGAAATACAAAATTAAAATTTTTTTTTATAAAAAATTGGCTATTTAAGCTAACTCAAATTTATAAACGGTAGCACAGTGGGGTCGAGGCACAGTGTAGAAAAATCATAGATGGGACAAGTATAGATAATATTTGACAGTGATTAAAATCACTATCATAAGAAACGCTTTGATGCAAATCTGTAGATAGTGTTTCATTTAGAGAAATTGGTGGATTATTCCAAAAGCAACATCAACTCTTATTTCTTTGATTATATCCTAATTAGTAGTTCTTTGATTTTAAAATATAATATATGAATAAATACTAATTATAATTATTAAATTTAGTATGAAATTGATATTTAAACGGAGAAATTATAAAAATAATAAAGAAGTTGTATTTTGCTTTATTTTTACGTGTATAAAAATTTAAAGGGCTTGATACAATAAATTTCAATAAAAACTGTTTGTTACTATAAATAAATGCACTGAACTACAAGGAACTTTCATCAGTAACAAAAATATACCATTCTAAATCAACTTTTCGCGATGTTTTCAAATCTGCAATTAGACTTTTTCTATCACTTCTAAGTTTTAATATTATTAAAATTTGTATTTACATATAAAAAATTCGCATCGAAGCTAAAAAATTGGCTATTTAAGCTAACTCAAATTTAAAAATTACTTTTTCAACTTTAAAAAAGTAAAAAAAAATTTAATAAGTTTAATTTCTTATGTCTTATGAACTTTATTCTATGTCAATTAGTAAAAAAATTTTAAAAAAAGTAAAAGTTAAAACCCAGGATTTTAACACAAAATTTTATAACATATTTTTGAATATGTTATCCTTTTGCGCATAGAAGATAGGTCGTCGCGACAAATTTTTTTTTTTCATTTTATAGTACATAAAATAAGCTTTAATTTTATATATGTTTAAAGGACGCAGTATTTCCAGAACATTTTCAAAAATTAAGTTGAAAAAGTTAGTTTTTGTAAAAAAGTTGCTATTTTAAATCCCCCTTGTGTGTACAATAAGTGTTAGATTTTCAAAAAAAAAAATGATATCAAACAAAAAGAAATTACCTAAGGTTTCAATATAAAAAAATATTATTTTGATTTGTTAATATTTGAAAAAGTTATGGAAGTTTTAAGAAAAAAAAGTGAGAAAAATTACAAAATTTATCGATTTTTAAATTTGTAATTTTTTTTGCGGTTTCCCCCATTTATGGGGAACGAGGGATTTTTTTCAATTTTTAAGAGTAATGTCTTCAACTAGATACGATTTGTGATCTTTTGACGTATTATTGAAAGAAATCGGTCCAGTGAGAGCTGAGAAAAAGTGGCAACAGACATAAAAAAAAAAAAAACACATCATAGTAAAATTAATACCTTCTCAGCTTCGCATCGAAGAGAAAATGGATAATATTGAGTTTAATTTTAATCGTATATAAATAAAGTAGCAATGCGACTCCGTAAAAAATCCAGAGGAACTACCGCGTTGAGTCTGAAGAGCCTCCTATTTATGGCCGAATATTCCATCCATGGGATTTATAATAATGGAATCCTCGGGATATTAGTTTGGGATTTCCATATTATTGAAACAATAATTTCCTATTTGACTTTCAATCTGGAATCTTATTTAATTTTATGATTCATTTATTAATAATAGACGAATCATTAAAAATTTAAAAATAATTATTTAGAAATATGTATACTACTTATTTTATGCTAGACTCAACAAAATTCATTATAACTAACTTAATGAAACCATTCTAGATTAAAATTAAATGTTTTTTTATTAAAACTTACACAAATCAGAAAACAGAAAAGTTTTGAATAGTGTAATTATTTTTGCTGATATCCAATATATACATTAATATATTTTTTAAATACAATTAATCATAAAAATTATGAATACATTAAATAAAAATACAATATAAGAGTTGCTGAGGAGATATTTAAAGTGATATACAATACATATTTAAATTGTATAATTTATTTTCAAAATAATTAGTTCATAATTAAAAAAAAAACTTGAGTTAGTTTTCATTATAAAACTATATTATTACCATGGCTCGGATATTATAGCACAAATAAAATATATATTTAGCACTTTATTATGCACTTAAAAATCCACAATAAGCCTTATAAATAGCACTAAAAACAGAAAAATACGATGAGTCTGAAATAAAAACATTGTATATGTAGGTAATATGAAGATAACGCGCAAGACCTATGTAAATACGATGATGGCGATAATAGTAGTACGTTTCACAGGAAATGAGCAAATTATTGTAAATGATATGAATTGTATTATCGACAACAACAACTGAATATATCACATTTGATAATCAAAATGCTTGTTAATTCTTGTTTTCATATTCACATGAATGTGCTAATATAGTTTTTTGTCAGTAAAATTTTGGTCATTTCAGATACATATAAACTAGCTAAAAATAGCACTTAAACTTAAAAATTAGCAAAATAGCACCAAAAACTGTAAACATGCAAAAATTAACAAAATATGCATTTGCTAAAACTTTCGAGCCCTGATTATTACATTACATTATACGATTATTGTTATTAAAAAAAAAATGATTACATTAGAATAAAATAAATGTACAAATAAAAATTATGGAGTTATATACCTCTTTTTAGACCATCTGTGGCATCATTTGGTATACAATAGGTCTAACTAAATCTCATTTTGTTTGTAAAGATTTGCTCTACATGATAAGTACTCAGACTTAAAAAAAAAGTCATTCTGTGGCTTTTAGAGGCTTTGTATCTTTCTCATCAACCCTCTTATGGTACTGGGGTAGGATTTGGAAATTTTTCTTAATCTATAAAGAAAACGTTATATATATTTTGAAATACCAAAATAATAAACCCTTTCTAAATCCGTTTTGTTTTGGAGTATTTTTTTTCAAAATACTAAGTAAATCTATTGTAATACTTTTAAATTTTACACATACAGTTAAGTAAAGTAATTAAGCGATAATTTTCCTTTGCTGCTAGTTTTTATTAGGTTNTTAATTAAGTAAAGTAATTAAGCGATAATTTTCCTTTGCTGCTAGTTTTTATTAGGTTTTTCTATTAGAATAATGTTATAATTCGGTGTTGAATTTATTGAGCCAATTAAATCGTCTTTAAGGTGTTGGTTTTCTTTTTAATGGGTGAATGATACTTAAGGTATTGATTTTTAATAATGTTTTCATTCGTCGGTGATTTAAAAGAGGTGTTAGTAATGTGTTTTCAATATCTTGTGTATAGTCCATGGTGTCATTAGATGGATCAGAGATATTAAATTGATTTAATAGGATATTATTTGTACCTTCAATCGTCTGTTTCTTCTTCTTCCGCGACTTCGGCCTTCAAGACCATGTCATCCAAAAAATTTGCCTTCAAATTTCCCTATCCAATGCCAACTCCTTCCAATCCATCCCTGGTCTCAATTTTACTGTGTCTTCTTTGATTCTAACTTCCCAGCGTAATCTTGGCCTTACAAGTGGTCGTTTTCCTTGTATATTCTTCTGTACTATTTTTACCAATGAACCTGTTTTTCGCCAATAATGACCTGCTCACTTTAGTCTCTCCTTGTATTTCTCTAGTAATTTCATCCATCACTATAGAGAATAAGTAAGGGCTTAAAGCAGAACCTTGGTGCACTCCTACTCTTACCCGAAAACCTTCTGATACTCCTCCTACGCTTTTTACCCTGGTACAAGTGCCATCATACATAACTTCTATCATATTAATGTACCTTTTCGAGATTCCTTTTTTCATTAATGCCCACTTTAAAACCTCTGTCGATACTCTGTCATACGCTTTCTCCAAATCTATAAATACCATACACAAATTTTTCTTCTTTTCCCTAAACTTTTCTATTAGTTGCCTCACACAAAATACTGGCTCCATTGTTGACTTACCAGGCATAAATCCAAACTGGGTTTTAGATACTGATGTCTCATTTCTTATTCTCTTATCTATTACCTTTTCCCAAATTTTCGTACTATGACTCATAAGCTTTATGCCTCTATAATTTCCACACTCCTGTATGTCACCTTTACCTTTAAGTATCGGCAATACTATTCCTTCATTCTTTTGAATTTTCTCATCAAATAGGATTTTATTAAAAAGATCCTGCAACCACCTTATGCCAACACCGCCTAATATTTTCCATACTTCTACTGGCACTTCATCTGATCCTACTGCTTTATTCTTTTTCATTAATGCCACAGCATCCCATACCTCTTTCTCACTAATTAAATCTACCAGATATACGAGATACCCTCGTGGATATAATGTTTTTTTTTTTTGGTACTCCTCATTCAATAATTTTTCAAAATACTCTTTCTACCTTTTTTCACGTCATCACTCGAGAGTACCTTATTATCAACACCTTATTTAATGATAATCTTTAGACCTTTTCTCTCTTAACTTTGTAAGTCTATAGATTTCTTTCTCGCCTTCCTTTGTTCCTAGCCTATCATACAACTAATCATACCTCTTAAACATCGCCTTACTTACTGCACACTTGGCTTCTTTGTACAAGCGTTTATACTCCATCCAGTCTTCTCTCCTTTTGCTCTTCTGCCATACTTTGAATTGCTTTTTCTTACTTTCTATGATTTTTTGAACGTCCTAATCCTATCACCGCATCCTCATACACTTTTAAGTATCTTATAAAAATGTAAATTTTTATTTTTGTTCACATCCTTATTCCTTAAATTAAATTAATTTAAGGTATTCCTTAAATCACACTATACTCTTTCTCTTCTCCATATCTAACTACTTTGCCTTTAAAATACAAGCAATTATTTATAGATTGGAAATTGGAAGATCAGTTTGTTAAATAATTAAGATAAAAATAACTGTTCATTATGATAGCTATATACGTAAAATCTTAGGAGGTATAATTATTTAAATATGTGGTTTTTGAAATTTTCTTAAAATATAACAAACTTATAAAAAAATAAATACATAATGAAAACAATTCAATTATAAATTGAATTTCAGGATGGGTTAGGCAATACGACAGCTAAATGTATAGATTGTACTTGCAATCATATTGGGTCAATATCTGATTTATGTGATCCTAGGACTGGTTTGTGTCCATGTAAAAGAGGTGTAACAGGAGTTAGCTGTGATACATGTTCAAAAGGTTTTCATTCTTTCTCTAGCCAAGGATGTGAAGGTTAGTAATCATCTTATTAAATACAAATGAATGCAATTTATTAAAATTTCTGTTGTATTTTTACTTAGAATGCAATTGTAATATAACTGGAAGTGTGGATAACAATTGTAGCAGTATCAATGGGCAGTGCAACTGTCAGTCCAATGTTAGTGGAATCTTATGCAACTCATGCACAGTAAGTAATAGACATACATAGGTATACATTTTTCATCATAATAGATAGTATAATGATAATAATATATTTAGGAAGGATACTGGAATATTTCGAATATGGGATGTCAAAAATGTCAATGTGATGAAATTGGTGCCATCAATAACTTGTGTGATGAAATTTCTGGTCAATGCTCTTGTAAACTAGGAGTGGGAGGTTTATTTTGTGATCAGTGCTTACCTGATTATTACGGATTTTCCACTTTGGGTTGTTCAAGTCAGTAATTAATTATAACTCTTCAATATATTATCATTTTCTATTGAAATTTTATTAATTGTCTAGAATGTGAATTATGTGATACATCTGGACACATTTGTGATATGGATACTGGAAGATGTGTATGCCCTCAGCTGACTGAAGGTTCAGAATGCAATCAATGCATGTCTAATGGTTTTGGCTGGGAGTACAAAAAAGGATGTCAAGTGAGCTAAAACATAAATTAATATTTTACTCATATGTTCAATTTTAATAATAAATATATTTTCTAAATTTTTAGGAATGCCAATGTGATTTATTTGGATCTTTTAACTCATTTTGTCATAACAAAACAGGAACATGTACGTGCAGAACTGGCTATGGTGGAGCTAAATGCAATAAATGTTCGTTTGGTTACTATGGATATCCTCGATGTCGACCCTGTGCATGTGATTATGCTGGAACTGAACCTAATAATTGTAATGGAACATTATGTGGTTGTGATGAATTTGGTCAATGTGATTGCAAAGTAAGCAAAGTTATTATTATAAAGTCAAGTAAAAGTTTATATGAACTTATCTGGATAAAAAATGTTGGTTATAATTTTTTTATTTATAAAATAATATAATAAGCATTAAAAATTTTTTGTATGTAAGAAACAGTATGTTATGATACTATGCTAATAATAATATATTTGTGTTATCAATGTAAAAATGTCAGTATGTGTCTGTCTGTCGAACAAGTTATTGAACTAATTGGAGGTGATATATTTTTTTATAAACAATAGTTTAAGGTGCTAAATTAGCAGTGTAGAGTTTCAATATATACTACACAATTGAGGTGCTATAAAAATCATAAAATTTTAAGTGAAGGTTATTTTTTTTAACTGTGTGATATCCTTTGTATTAAATAAATTTATAATTATTTAAGTATTTTTGTAAGTAACATTTATGTTAAGTATAGTATTTTGTAATCAATTTTAAAATATTGTGTTAAAAAGTATATTGTTTGTCATAGATTTACGTATAATTAATAATAATTAAATATAAATTCACAATATCGTTTTTAATTGATTGAAAATAAAATATTTTTATTTTATTTTTTCAATGTATATAGTAATATTAAAGCACAAGTACAATATATTAGACGGGTTCTCACCATTCTAAAGTATAGAAAAGGAATAAACATAAAAGATATTTTATTATAGATAAATGAATATAGTAAAAAAAAGTTTCACAAAAATCTTATTTTAAGAGAAATTGTGTGGCTAGCATTAAAAAAAAATCTCTTTATGTAGTTAAAATTATTAAAGAGCCAATGTACCTTAAAACATAAATTATAAAAGGCTACATATTATGATAGTGTAGTCATAAGTAAAATTCTTAAAAAATTTTTTACTATGAAATGTCCATAGTGACTAATCATTAAATATGAGATATGTTTGTCTATCTTTTATGCAAAAAATATTAATCAGCTACTAAAGATACATCACTTAAAATTGGTTAAATGATGTTCAAAAAGTTTAATTAAACCTTAAATAAAATGTTGAAGATATTTTATTGTTGGAAAATTAAATATTTTCTTTTATTTTAGATGAATGTTTTTGGAAAAAGATGTGATCAATGTAAAAATGGAACCTTTGGACTGGACCAAACAAATGCAGATGGATGCATTCCTTGTTTTTGTTTTGGTCGTAGTAGTTCATGTTCAGTAGCAGGTCTTACGTGGAATCAAATTAGACTACCTCAAACTCGAATATTAACTGTTCACTATGATACTAATAATAGCACTTTGTACAATGAAAGCGATTATCCAGTCAATACTCAAGAAATTTGCTATATAAGTGTAATTATTTATTAATCTGTATATTATGAAAGTATGACTTAGTTTCACTTTTTTTTATAGCTAGCAAATCCTGAAAACGAATTAAAAATGACGAAAGAAGAACAAAATCAATTATTGGTAATTAATAACTTAAAAATTATTCCAGGTACTATAGGTAATGTGGAAATAGGTGTGAAGTATTTATTTGATACACCTGTCTACTGGCAATTACCTTCACGATTTTCTGGTGATAGGGTAAATAGAAATAATATTACATTAAAATCTTATGATGTTTTATGAATTAATTTTCTACAGATTTTATCTTATGGTGGTTACATAAGATTTTCTATAGTCGCTGAAGGTGGAAACACTTTATTTCCTCAATATATTTTGTCATCTTACCCATTAATTCAAATTCAAGGAAATGAACACATTATTCTTGAATATTTTCCAAAATTTGTCAATAATGGATCCAGTCATCAAGTAAGGTACTGTATATTGTTGATACTCATTTATTTATTTATATGAGTAAATTGTTTTTTTTATCTATTGATTTTTCACTTTTTAATTTTTAAAATTGTTATTGAACATTTTATTTATTAAAACTAAATCATTATTTTTAAGATTACACGAATCATTATGGCAAATTAAAAACAATCCTGATGCCAAAGTTAGTCGAGAAATACTTATGCTTGCCTTACAAAATATAAAATATATATTCATTAGAGCAACCGATTCTGTTGACTTTACAAGTGCTACGTGAGTACACATTTTATACATTATTCATTAAAATATTTCTAAGTCTAGAAAATATTATGTAGTCTTAAAGATGTATGGCTAGAAACCGCAACAATGACATCAAGACGATCTGCACATCTGTCTGCTTCTCAACTAGTGGAGGTATGTGAATGTCCTCGAGAGTACAAATCATCTTCATGTCAAGATCCCAGTCTTGGTTATTTTAGATATTACAATAGTTCAGTTGGTGCAACCATTATAATACAAACTGTAGGTGAAGCTAAACAATGTCAGTGTAATGGTCGTTCAAAAGTTTGCAATGTAGAAACAGGAAAATGTGAAGTAAGCTGTTAAAACTAAATAAAATGTATCCATTCCCCAAATATTAAAGACATTGAATATCTTAGAATCAAAAATAATACAAAAATTATTAATATTACAAGGATTTCTTTTTCGCAGAATTGTACACAGAATACAGGGGGTGCTCACTGTGAAGTCTGTGCTGAAGGCTTCTATGGTGATCCATTTGGTGAAGGTTGTCATCCATGTCCTTGCCCTTCAGTTAATAAAAATTTTGCTAAGTCATGTAAAATCAACTTTGATGGAACATTAGTTTGTTATTGTAAAGTAGGTTACAAAGGACCCATGTGTGATCAGTAAGTTTTTAGAAATTTTTTTTATATTCACATAATAATATTAGTAGTGAAATTAAATTTTATTTAAAAATAGGTGTGAATACGGATGGTTTGGATATCCACGAAAAGATGGCGGAACTTGTGAACCATGTCATTGTAACAAATATGGTATGATAAGTGATGAATGTGATGAAGAAACAGGACAATGCAACTGCATGCCAAATATTACTGGTCGAGACTGTTCTATTTGCCAAGCAAATCATGTGTTGACTAGTAAAGGTTGCACGTGTAAGTAAAATTATAAAAATATAAGCATTGTATAATAAAATCCTAATAAAAATTATGTTATAGCATGTGAAAACAAATGTATCAGTACATTGTTAAATGAAGCAACTAAACAAATGAGGTTATTAAATGAATCATCTATTTATCTTGCTGAAGGAATGATTTCTCCCCCATGGTCATACTTATTGTTTCTTGAAAAAAATGTAACATTATTAAACAATATGCTTAATGACTCAACAAAAGCAAATTTGTTGTTGATTGATCTAGCTGATGAATTAGAACAAAATGTTATGAAAAAAGTTAAATATGCTTTTGTAAAGGTAATTGAATTGTTTTTCAAATTAATAATAGATATTTTATAAATTAAATTTAACTAAATTGAATTTTTTCTTATTAACAGGCTAAGAAAACTCTGAAAGGATCTCATCTTATTGAAAATGATGTAGAACTATTAAATAAATTAGCAAAAAATAGACTATTAAACACTATAGGACTTGAAAGAGAAATAGATGGTAAAGTATAATTTGACTACAATATATAGTTTAATTAGAAAAAGTAAAATAAAAACTAATTTTTTTAAATAATTATTTAATAAAAAAGTGATAATATTTATTAATATCGAATGAATTAATTAATTAACATTCTAATTTAAATCAAACTGATATAAAGAAATATATTAATTATATGAACTCCATTAAATGGTACCTCATACAGTCTATATAACATAGAATTGTTGATTTCTCATAGTAGTAATATAATAATAGGCAGGGCAGTGCTACTACACAGTTGAGNTAGGAGGATGTAACAGAGACAGGTACCTTGGGTGCTACACAGTTGAGTTGTGCCGTAAATACATTAATAAAAATTTTTTTTGCACAAGATGTACACTGTTTTAAAATATACATATATATATTAGTATATATTTTATATCAGTTGTTGTTATTACTTTTGTATGTATAAAATATTTTATATCTATACCGTAGATAAGACAAAGAAAGTTGTATCTTATTTGTGCTTAAAATTTAAATATTAAACTTAAACTTTTATTTTCTTTAATAGGAACCCCTATTTTCAATTTATTCATATAGAAAAGACACATTCAAATAATTTTGTTAAAAGATTTGGATTTAAAGTACTAATTTGTCATTAATTTGGTTAACCTAATAGTAAAATCAACAATAAACTATTTCAATGGGTTATAAATTATTTTTGTCGTATTTATTAAGAAAACTTTTCCACACTGGTCATTCAACAATAGACGATAGTAAACTTTTGTTGAACATTATAGTATATATCTATTAATAGACATTAATTATTAAAAAAAAAATTTGTTTAATGAATAAAATCCAATTGTACCTCTGACAATTGATAACTACTGTATACTACACAGAAAATTATCAATTGAAAATACTTTCCAAGAAAATGAGTGTCTTATTCTTAATGAATAACTCTGTATACTGTTAAGATTAGGGTGTTATTAAAAGTGTAGTGAATGGCTTTGATTTAGCGTTTAATATATGTAAAATCTTTCATAAAAGTAAATTTAATTTCTACCCATATTAAATAGGGACACCAAATAAATGTTTGTCCTAGCACGCCAATGATAATTAGTTCAACACTGATAAAAGGATATATTAACAATAAGGGAAAATTCTCTATTTATGGACTACAGTTTTTAAAAGAGTTATCTAGTTAACAATAATTGTCTATGTTAAATTATAATTATTTTTTCATTATTTAGAGTTAGTTATAAACCTACAGACATATAGTGTAGAAGAAATATCCCGAGTAAATATATTAAGTACTCTAGAAGAAGCAAAAAATTTGTTAAACAAAATAAACAATATTGACTTTGAGCCATCAGTTGAACCCTTAGTCATACTCAAGTATTATTACTATTAAAAATATCTTATTTAAAAGTACTAAGAAAACTTGTCTGTTTTAGGGTATGTTCTCAAGCTATGGAAAATTTACAATTAAACACAGGGAGTCAAGCTCTGACTATTGAGCTCAAAATCAAATTTGAAAACCTTTTAAATAAAGTGAAAGACTTTGACCTCATTTTATCTAATATATCTGTTATTTCAGAATCGGTACCAATTTCATTTCACTTGCTATTCATTAAGTAATTAAATAATATATTTTTTACTTAATTTAGGTAATACAGTTAAAGAAAAACAATCAAAAATCTTTGTATTTGGTCAATAAAATTATAGAAGATATTAATCGAATGGAAATTATGTTTAATATACTTTATGGAGATGCTTCGAATGCTATAAAAAAGGCTAAAGCTAACTTTTTATCGAGTTCAGATAATTTTGAAGTACTGTACCTCATATATATTAATTAAATAAATGTTACCCTCCCTTTCCTTAAAAAAATGTTTTTTGGAGTTAACATATTAATGATTATTAAATTTAAATTTGTTATTCATACATTATTACTATTATGATAGGAATTGTTCAATATTAGACCCAGATTAGAAAGCTTCAGAAAACAGTTTAATAGTGGTAAAAATATAGATGCTCAATTAAATGATGAGTTACTTTTAGTGAACACAGCTGAAATACATGCAAGTTATCTTTTACAAACTGCTCAAAAATATGCAGAGTGAGATATTGTATAATTTTACATTTTATAAAATTATTATTTAATTAGGATTTCTTTGGTTTTGTTTACTTAGATTATTTAAGCCAATTAAACACGATGCAAATGTCACATTACAAGCTAGTAATGCTTACTTAAATATTGTTGAATTACTTCAATTAGCTCATAATTCAGCAATCAATGCTAGCAAATTAGCAGAAACTTCATATAAAACTGTAATTTAATATTTTAAATAAATATATTTTGATAATTTTTTCTAACTTAAAAAGTTTATTTTTAACATTTAAAATTGTAATATTATTTAAAAAATTAACTGTCATACTTACAATAATTTTTGTATTGTTAAGTTATGTAATTTAAACAACTTAATTTCGGTTATTTAGTCATATCCAGGATTATACCAAGAAATGTTTTTTCATAAAACAAAAACTGCTGAAGAATCATCAAAACTTGTTTACCAGAACATATTAGAATCTATGAAAATTGTAAATTCTTTTAAAACAGAATTTGATTTAGAAATGATGAACTTAGAAAACATTAAAAATGATATACGTCAAGTTATTAAAAATGATAATAGCAATTCTAAACAAATAACTGAACTAGAACAATCTGAAGGTATTAATAAATTATTTAAAAAGTTATTTCTTTAATCTGTAATAGTTCTGTTTGTTTTCATTTAGGTATGAATACTGAATTTAATAGGGAGGATATTGATCCTTTGGTTGAATCATTGACCAATGTTGAAACTAAAATAAATAAAATTCAATATGACATAGATAGTAGACTGCGTCCAGCTCTATTTCAATTAAATGGTGAAGGAGAACCATCACTGACTGTTGCTCAAAATAAAAGTAATAAAGAAATATAACTCATTCTTCAATTATTTATAACTAATAAATTTAACATTTTACAGTTGATGAAGTTGAAATTAATGGCAAAAAAGCTATAGACCTATTAAATAATGTTTTTAAGTCTACTGAAAACTTTAATAAAGAATTGTCTTCTTGGAATGACACTATGGCATCAAAACTTGAAAGTCTACGAAATAAAATTACTGAAGCGCGTCAAATTTCTGATGGTGTAAGTATTTTTCTATACTTAAAATTTCCATGGATGAAATAAAAACTTTATTTAAAAAAAATAATAATAATATCTCATGTCTCTTTAAATTTAAGATTCGAATCTCAATAACAGGTCTAGAAAGTGACATTGACAATGTTTGTATTAGAACATATCAACCAAAATTTCTAGAACCTAGTACTAGAACTACTATAGTTTTGTCATATGCCATAAGCTCTAATGCGAGAGATGCACTACTCTTCTATCTTTTGAGTAAAAGTACCGTAAGTATTATAATAAGTACTAATTTTAAAAATAATAATATTACTTTTTTTCTAAAAAACTTTAACTATATTTAGTTTAATTTATAGGGTGATTTTGTAGCCATTGAAATGGTCAACCGAAAGATAAGATTCCTGTGGAATGTTGGAGGTGGTATTGGAGAAATTACTCATCCGATGCATATACAAACAGCAAATGATCTAAATAATGATCAACATTGGTACAGAATTGAAGCTGAACGAGTTCAAAATGTGGGTAAATTATTAATAAGACCTCAGGTAGTTCCTAGTGGATCATCATTAGCTATGATGGCACCATATACAAATATGTCAGGGGCTGGCATGGGGCGATTGGATGTTAATTCTGATGATATGATATGGATAGGAGGAATTGATAAAGCACCACTTCCACCATACCTACTCTCTAGGCAATTAGGTCTAACTGGTTGCTTGCATCAGGTATGGTTGGATGGATGGCCTATTGGTTTATGGAACTTTAAGTCACAACCATCTGGTATTTGTAGCGCTTGCATGGAAGGGTAGAGTTTTTAAATTATTTATCACAAAGAATGTGTGTAAATTAATTTACTTTTTATTTTAGAGCTGAAGAAGTTGTTGATGATGGTTCCTATAGGTTTTCTGGGGAAGGCTATTCAGTTTTACACCATGACAATACTATTGCTTACAATAAATATTTGTTCAGTGTGTCACTGAACTTTAAAACTTTTGATGAGAAATCATTGTTATTCTTAGCTGAAGGATCACAACCCGTAAGTTAGATAAATTAAAATTGTGTTAAACTGAAACTTAAAAAAACTAATTATTTTGTATAGAACCAATATGTTGAAATCAGGCTTCAAGATGGAAAAATTGTTTTTCGTGTTAGTTATTCAGGTTACTCACTTTTAGAATTATCCACCACAAGTAGGTATAATATTGGTACTTGGACAAGATTGGAAGCAACTAGATATTTTGACAGAAAAAAGAAAGTGGAAAAAGGTAAGCTTTATTAGATTTAATTAGAACATATTCTAAACTACCTCTTTAAACAGGAGTATTAAAGGTAGGTAGTGAATCAAAAGAAGGTGTACCATCACCTCCACCTAATCAAAATGACATACCAGAACTTTCGGAAACACAGTATATGATTGGCGGAGTACCTCCAGGTTTTAAACCCAGCAATAGCCTATCTAAATCATTTTTAGGATGCATGTCGGATATCCAAATAGCTCAACAAGGGTACAATCCCATGAGAGGGAACTCATGGGGTGTACATTCTACATGTTCAGATAAAGTAGATAAATTTTAGGTATTTATATTTTGTATGGTTTTTAATAAATTTTTTGAAAATTTAAAGCCTCTGACTGTGGTTGGGTTCTATGGAAATGGTTATTTAGAATTAGCTTCACATACTTTAAAAAAGAAAGCATCATTTGGATTTATGTTCGCTACTTTGCAGCAAGATGCACTTTTGATGATGTCAACAACAGAAATGCTTATTGTTAGTATTTCACTTTAGAATTTCTTTTAATTATATGTATTCTAATATTTTACTTATAATTTATAAACAGTCTGGAACATTTAAGGATAATGAGAACATTGAAGAAATCAATAATAATATAGAACAAGAGGTACATAAAAGCATCAATTTATTCTTTTTTGTGTATTTCAATTTTTTTTTTATTTACTTAGAACAAGCTTAATTACTATTCAGTAAGTTTAAGACGAGGGCAAATAGATATTAGGATAAATGCGGGTAAAGGAGAAGTAAGATTAGCCAGTGAAGGATTTGAATTTGGAGATGGAAAATATCATTCTATTATGGTGACAAAGAATGGCAAGAAACTTGAACTTCGTATTGATGATGTACTTCATTCATTTTCATCTCTACCTGAAGGATCAAGTGTGGTGAAAGCATCAGGTGTTGCAGGTGGCTTGTTTTTGGGAGGACTTCCAACTGAAATTAATACTACTGGCAAAGCTGTGTCAAACATTCCTCTAATGGGTACAATTAAAGATGCAATTTTTAATGACCAGTAAGTACCACAGTAGTATGTAAAGAATAACTACAAACATGTGTTCATATATATTTTGTTGATAGGCTTTTGTATTTTGATTCTCCAATTGAATTTGAACATGCAGCTATTGGACAAGTAGGCCCAGTCCCACGACCTGGCAGTAATATAACAAATGAGATAGCATCCATGACTTCGCCTGAAAAACTATCAGGGTGTGGGAAAGAAGGAAGTTTTTCTCTAGAACCAGGAGCTGTTAAATTCGGTGATAATCCACACAGCTATGTTCAAGTTTCTTTCTCAAAACGACATAACGTGCAACGTAATTTTATAATGGATTTTCGATTTAGAAGCTTCTATTCAAATGGATTGGTGTTTTTGTTAACAGTGAGTTCTTAGTTTCTACGATTTTTTTAAACAACATAACTTAATAAAGTAGTCTTAATTTAGGGTAACAAAGCCAGAAGTAATTATATGGCTATGCACTTGTACAATGGTCGAATCCAGTTAGTGTTAAAAGCTCGTAAAAGGATAGAGTTATCTACTCAAGCTGTATACAATGATGGAATGTGGCACAAGGTTAACAAAATTATTTAAACTTTATTACTTATATTTACTAATATACCATTATTATTACATTATTACATTATACTCATATTCAAAGATAGGCTAGTTAATGGAAATAATTAACTTAAGTTAAGTTAAGTAGGAACATTGTCTATATGTTTACCATTAAAAGTTAAAAATTATTTTTAACCTAACTGTTTAAAAAAGTTTATTTGATATTATTAGTCCAACCCAATCAAAACAAAAAAAATCATAAAATTATTTTTATTGTTATATAAATATATTATTTAGGATAGGGAAAAATTAAATTTAACTCTGCTTTATTCTAGCACCTTTGATAAGTAATTGTGTTAATATTGAATTTTTTTAATTTAAATCTTGTACACAGTGTATAAATATAAAAAAATATTTTGTAACTTTGAATGTAGCTTGATTGTTATTATTTAATTAACTAAAAAAAACTAAGTAAATTAACCAGTAAATTAAAAGTTAATTAGAAAAATAATTAACTAGTTACTTTGAAAAGTTAAGAAAAAATTATTTTTTTAACTATTTAATGCTCACTATTACTAATATTTATTTATATTTATTAATCATACTGTTTGTTGCAGGTACAACTGATTAAAGATAACAGAACTATTCACTTCATCATTGATTCAATATCTCACGAAAAATTGAATTTAACAAAAAAACTAAACTTGGGTAACATAATGTATGTTGGTGGTATACCTGAAGAAAAAGATATACGGATACCAGAGTTGTTGGTAAATCTTATGACAATTGAGGCTTTATAATAAAAAAAAGATATTGTCTAAAAAAATCAAAATTTTTTATTATTTTTATGGAAAATACAGTAAATACACATCTTAATAACCTGATGAAAATCTAAATCAAATATTAAAATAAAATTAGAATTATGTTGAAATGAGAAAAAAATTCTCATCATTAGATTACTATGTGTTAAACAAACATTTTTTTCCTATTCCTGAATAAAAAAAAGGTTTTATAATGAAGTATCTTTTTCATTATCATTGCATCAATTTTTAAAAATATCAGCATTTTTATTCATGACTTCTATGCAGGATATTCATCCATTTATGGGTTGTATGCAAGGATTTGCTCTAAATCATCAAGAAGAAGAATTAGTTAGCGAAAAAGCCATTAGACACAAAGTAGGGCAATGTTTCCCTCAAGTTGAGAAAGGATCATACTTTCCAGGTGATGCCTATGCTATTTACAGTAAGTCATAAAATATTTAACATTTTAATTTTTATAGGAATTTCCAATGATTATTATTTATATATATATATATTTTTAAGAAAACAAATACTATGTGGGAGCACTACTTGAGTTATCTTTAGAATTCAGAACAACTCAAACCACTGCTATTTTATTGTCAGTATCTGAACCAGAAGGATACCCAGCATTATCACTTGAACTAAACCAGGGCAAAGTAGTTTTATCTGGTGATATGGGCGATCGCCGACCTTTCCGAGTAGAGCAGAGTTTTCAATCTGACTTTGCTATGTGTGACAATAAATGGCATAAAATTCAAGCATTTTATGTAGAAGACAAATTAACGCTCAAAGTTGATCAATTTGAACAAAAATATTGGCTTTTAGACAATGGTCATATTACTGAAGCACACACAAATAGCCCTTTGTATATAGGTGGGCTGCCAGGTAATAAAAAAGTTATTTTTTAATTATACTAAAATATAAATATATATAAATGATTTCAATAAATATTAATCACACTGAAACTTAATAAAACAGTGAAAGTAGTATACCATTGTTTTTTAGCAAATGTTGTGTATTAGTAAATATTTCACTAATTTTTAAAATAAAACATCTAATTGAGTAACACATTTTTTTTATGTCAAGAGTTCATTTATTTAACATATTAGTCATTATTTTTATTACATTTATTGTTAAAATTTTAGAATGTAGTTATTTAACAAATTTTTTTTTTTGTTTTTATTAAAATTATTGTTTGCTTATGGCTAATATTATTTTTAAATAAAAAAATATTTACAATATATGTTTATATAGATGTCCCAACCTGTTTTGACAAATTCTATAATTTTTGATCCACTGGATATATTTTGTTATTTTAATTTTAAAATAATTTTTACAATTTTTTAACTATGTTAAAAACATATTTTTATTATCTGTTTAATAAAAAAAAAATGTCATTTTTTCAAAATTTCAAAATAGCTACTCTTTAATATCTTTCTTGCAAAAAAATTTGATGAGTCTATAACAACTTAGGGATAAGTACTTAGATTTACAAGTATTTTAATATATTAAGTAGGTATGTAGAAATGCGTGGTTGGGCACAACTCATACTGGTATGTATGCTCTACACCTGATTAAATTTAAAATGTAACTAGATATTATTAAATATTATTGATTAGTTAAGTTATAGAAACAATCATAATTTTTAATATGTTTGCAGATACAGCATCTAGTGGTACTCTAGGCACAAGAGAAAATTTTAAAGGCTGTATTAGAAACCTAATTATTGGAAGTGAACGTACTGATTGGACAGATATGGCTTCACTACATAATATCTTATTAAGTTCATGTCCACTAGTTATTTACTGAAAAAAAAATTTGAATATTTTATTTTTAAATCATGACTGTTAACCTTAATTGTTTGAGCTGCCATTGTAAATATTTTAATATTTTAAAATCATAAATTTGTATAATATGAATTAACATTTTATTATCAATGTAAATAAAATTATTTTTAAATTATTTAAAATACTGAATGTAAATAACTGTTGTATTAGTAAAAATAAGGAATAATCAATACTATATAAATAATATTATTAAGCTTTTTATTTCACTGCCTTATGTATATTTATTTGTTATGACCAAAATATAATAAATAAGATTAAGAAATAATTGTAAAATAAATAACTTTTTTTCTATGTTGATAAAAAAATTAAAAACTTATGATAAATAAAAAATATATATTTAAAGACATTAAAAATATTTAAAATATATTCATATATTTAAGGTATAGTATTATTACTGTTAAAAATCTACTACAAAAGTAATTTTTTAAAAATGTATGTTTTTTACTAAATAATTTCTTAAAAAATGCCCATTATTAATTATTAAGGTTTCCTTATTATTATTTTTTTTTTTTGTATAAATATTTTTATAATAAGACATAAAATTATCTTAATTTTTATTAGGTATTGTACCTTAAATTTATATTTATATTGGCATAACATCTTATAAACTATTTTTTAAACATTAGAGCATCGTTTTGAAAATAATAGATATTAACTATGTATAATTTATATAAGTTATAAATTCAGGGTAAAGACGCACGCATGCTACACCTATTATATTTATACTTAAATGAAACAAAAATTAATAAGCATCTCGAAGATATAAAGATAAAATAATTTATAACTGTTTCAGTCCTAAGAAAATATAATACTATTTTAATTAGATACAAACAGAGTAATTTACAAAAATGTGAAATCCAATAAATTTTCATAATTGTATTGAAATTAAACTATATTAATTTTAAACTATTGCTTGTTAAATTACTTTCAAAAATTATTTTTATTACTAATAACAAATTTAATAAAATACTGCAATAAACTAAATAAAACTGATGATGCGATGTATAGGAAAATAAAGAACCGTGTATTACCCAAAAGTGCAGTGTTGAAAAGTGTTAACTATACTATACATTAGACTGTTAGCGATATTTCTTTGATATGAGAGTTTATTTTGAATAATGGACACAATACTTTTAACTGTTTTAATATAATACTTATTTAACCTTTTTAGGTACAGCATACAATTATAAAAAACAGATGATAAAATAATAATACTTTGATTGGGTTAGGTGGATGTAAAATAATGCCCGATCTCAAGCAGTTGGGATTAAGGCGAGGAAGAAGATGACATAATAATAATAATTACTCAGTGTAGCCATGAAGAAGGAGAAATGTATGGATATAACGTGCGAAAACATTAAAAAATTATGGCTGCGAGTAGAATGAACAAAGCATACAAAATAATTAAAAACTTGTCAAGATTACCGAAGCCAAGAAACAAAATGGTGACCGATTGTTTCTAATAAGCGATTAGTTTTATTTGTACTATAAAAAAAAATGAAAAATTTATAATTAATACATAAAAAGTCAAGCCTTATAACTTAATCAAATATTTTATTTAAAATACGTGTCTATCGAAGTTTGTTTTTTTTTATTGAGTAACTCCATGTCCATATTTTCATAGAAGTAGTGCTGCTCAAAGTCTTTTTCATCCGCACGGTGCTGGACTACTCTCCTGAGGACACTAAGAGCTTCTATAATTTCTATGTTTGATGGGGATGCCTCGTTGTCTTCTTCTTCTTCGTCAGTATTGGTTTGTTCAATTGTTTGAGAATTCAATACCGCATTGCAAGTCTCTTCTTCAGTTTGAATCTTTTTCGACTACCACTTTCATTTTCCATTGTTGCGCGTTCAATATTCGAACGATCTTTTAAAATCCTATTTAATGTGGAATGAGAAACGTTTAAATGAGCTGCGGCATTACGTAAACTAATTTTTGGAAGCACATCGTATGACTTTATTAACTCGCACTTCTGTTTCAAACTTAAATCTTGGCGTTTAGACATTTTTAGGTCTTTAAAAAAACGAATCACTCATCGCCTTTACGTACGCACGCCGAAGCTGAACTACAAAACATACGCACAGGAAAGAGCTTCTCATACATAATAAACACACGTTTAAAAATAAACGTAAAGACAGCGAAGATAAGGTTAAAGTGCATTAGTTATCGCCGGATAACCGGTGTATATGTCAACCTAATTGTTTCAAATAACCGATATGATGTTTCAATAATACGATTGTATCAATTATCCGTGTTTCCAATAAGCGGCTTCCACTGAATATATATATATATATATAATATTAATAATACGTACACATGTACGGGTATGAAAACCAAAAATAAAATTTTAGAGGAATAGTATTTGCCGACGTGTGGTGAGCGGGGTGGGGGGGGATGAATGCGTCACGAAAGTCTAGTCTCAAGGTCATAGACGACGGGATACGCGAGAATAATAACATGTGGCGCGTGGAGAGTTCCATACATACATACAGATGAAACTAATAAAAGCGTGTTAATTATTTTAATTCTCATAAAATTTTCTATACAAATATGCCAATTTCAAACTTGCAGTTACAAATTACAAATTTTTTAGCTTCGATGCGAAGCTGAGAAGGTATTATTTTACTATGATGTGTTTTTTTTTTTTTTTTTTTNTGCGAAGCTGAGAAGGTATTGCTTTTACTATGATATGTTTTGTTTGTTTTTTTTTGTGTCTGTTACCACTTTTTCTCAGCTCTCACCGAACGGATTTCTTTCAACGATACGTCAAAAGCCCACAAATCGTATCTAGTCTATAAACTTTAGTAATTAGTAATTAAAATATGTATAAGTGCCATACCCCCAGCGCCACTTACGTTACTTACATCCTCTAGTTGGAGTGGAATGGAAGAGAGTAATCAATTTAACGCAGCGTAACCGGAACCCGACGAAATCCTTTTTTTTTTCACACACCCGGCATTGTTGTGGACCGCCCTGGAACTGTCGTTAGGCATTACTTCAGGGCGGCCCACGCCGTCTATGCAGAGTGATTCATTAAGAATAAGACACTTAAAGGGATTACAAATACAGGTAGCTAATTGGTTTTTATGACATTGCTGTCACAGTCACGGATTTTTTATTATCAATTATGATTATTAATAGAAATACTTTCTGTATTGTCAGTTAGTGTATTTATTAACTCACAACAATGTGTCTTATTACCATTGATAATAACAATGCTGTGTACCTGCTAATATCGATGTCATAAAAACCAATTAGCTACCTGTATTTGTAATACCTTGTGTATTATACATGTATATTAACTCAAAAATTTGAAACTTTAAGTGTTTATATCTAATAAACGATTAAAGTTATATTAAAAATTCAAATGCCATTTGCTATTAAATTAAAAACTCAAACATTTTATTAAATCCAAAATATGTGTTCTCATTTAAAAAAAACTCAAGTTAATGTTTTTTAACCTTGAAGAGATGAAAAATATCATGTTTTTACTACATATTATTGTAGTGTTTTTTTAATGAAACGATATTTTCCTTTCCAAAAATTAAAAATTTTCAATAGTTACTGAGTAAATGAGTGTCTTATCCTTAATGAATCACCCTGTATAATTCACACCACTACTCGTGATAAATGTCGGGCTGATTCACAACGTGGTATGGCCTCCCCCGTTAGTCGGATCCCAGAGTGGAATCTGTTGCTCGGGTTGCACCACGTGGAGGTGGGGGCAGGACTTTGCGAGGGTTGGCAAATAACTCACAATACAAAAAATAGAAACACAACATAAAATCCTTACGGCGTTGGTCGAAACCAGTGCCGTAAGTCACCTTGTTTGGGGCCTCTGCCTCAGGTGTTCTTCTTCCTCCTTTCGGCTCATCACCGATTCGGCGAACGCCTGGACGAGAGACCACTTCTCCTGGCTTCTCAACATAAGGTCCACCATAGACCTCATACCGAACGCGGACCCCGAGCGGGACTCTAATTCTTCCCGCTCGCTGGTCCCCGCCACGCACCGGAAGAGGGTATACAGTGAATTATCAGCTTCTCCCGGACGATCCCGACAGTAGTCGCACGTCGGCGCGGCTGCTTTAAAATACCGTGAAGGTATTCGTTGAAGCAGCCGCGGCCGGACATTACTTGGGTCAGACGATATGGCATTTCCCCGTGAATCAGACTAATCCGACTGAGTCCGATAAGGGACCTCGTCCACGCTTCCGCGGTTTTTTCCTCATCCAGTCATCGACGTCAGGTTGATGCTTCTGAGGAAGGGTGACAAGCCCAAGGGTCTCCTCGCGTCGTACAACCACTGCACATGTTCGACGACCTGGGGAAGATTCTCGAACGGCTGCTGGTTATCCGAATCCGAGACCCACCTGGCCGACGTCGGCGGACTAGTCGAGGGCCAGTTTTTTTAAGGATAGAACAATTTTGAGGGTAATGTCTTCAACTAAATACGATTTGTGATCTTTTGGCGTATCGTTGAGAAAAATCGGTCCAGTAAGAGATGATAAAAAGTATAATCTAAGTATAATCTAGTATAATTTAAGTATAAAGAGTAATGACATACACAAAAAATAAACACATCATAGTAAAATTAATACCATCTCAGATTCGCATCCAAGATAAAACTGTTACGAACATTAATATCAATATTAATATCTTGCGTCCGGTACGAATATTAATAGTTCAGTACCATATATTTATTGTTACCAGAATATTTGTTTATTGAATCATGATAATACAATGTTTTTGAAATTTGAATTAATATATAAAAAATTGGTGCATTATTAATGCAGACCAATAGGGACTGTTTTTAAAGTAAGGAGTGCGGTTGCATACCGTGACACTCCCCAAATGACGCCCTTGTATCTATATATGCATTATTATCTTTGATAATCTTATCTTAATTTTTTCTACTTTGTTCCCTGAATTGTACTACTATAGTTTTCAAAATATCATTTTTTCAATAATTTCGACAAGATAAATATTCTTAAGAGAAACCCAATTTTCTACTTTTTTACGGTGTAGTAAAATATTATTTCTCTTAACCATTACTTGCAAAACGTTTTCTATCGTTGAAAGCTTTCTTGTTCTTCTATTTCATACTGTATTTGCTTAAATTGAGTTGTTAAAATATATCTATTATTTTGCGTCAATAACTTTTTATAAATAACGATAAACAATTTTTTATACTTTCTATAACTGCTGTAGCATGTAAATTCATCGAATAATCATTAACCATTATCTGATTTTTAATGTAAATTGTAAACATGTATATATTCTAAATGAGGTTTAAATATGCATTTAGCTTTGAATTTAATTTTACAGCTAGCATATGTTTTTTATTAGTGATAAATAAAAATATGCATTGAATATATTTTAAGAAGGCAATAATTATTTAAAAAAATAATTCAACAAAATGATAATTAAATAAAAAATAATTTATTTGACATATTTTTATGACTCACTCTATATATAGGTTTTATATTTATCATATTTTAGGTATACATTTGTACTTTTAATATTCTCAGAAAATTCATGTAATTATAGCAACTAAAATGTTAAATATTTAATTAATAATTTTTATACTTTAAAATTAATAATAAAAAAAAAAACTATTCATTAATGTGTGTGGTAAATTTGACTTTAGTATTCATTAAATTTGTTGTAATACTAAAAAAAATGAATATTTCATTACTAAAATAAAATTAATCTATTTAAAATATTAGTGCCAATAAATGTTATATTGATAAATATATACTATTTGTTAATATTGCTGGATTAAGAATTTTTAGTATATTAATATAATACACTCAAATAATAAAAAATAAAGAGTTTAAGTAAACAGGAACAGAATAACCTTATTAACATATAAGTTAATAGACATATATTACAGTTATAATTCTTAAACATTTTATACTGTCCGTTTTTTATGTTATATTTGAACAAAATATTACTAAACAGAAAATTGAAGTTAAAATTTACTAACAATACTTAAATAAATTTATTTATTTTTATATATTTGCATAATAAAGCACCAGCCATAAATTTTGTTAATAATTTAATAATTATTAAAAAAACAATCTCTAAAAATAATGATAGTGCTCATTCTTATAAAAATTTAAAGAAAATTAGCTAATTGAAAATTTGATACATTTTTTGTAATATAAAATAAAATAAATAATATTATAAATTAACATGAATAATTATTTTGAATAATTAAAAATTGTTTTGTTAGTTGATATTAATGCAAATAATCTAACTAAGATATCAGTATTAAAAATTTTAGGTTATCACATTTAATTATAAAAATAGGAAGAATTTAATATAATAGAATAGTATAAATTAGGTAAATATTAACTTAAAAATAAATCATTAAGTCAATTTTAGTTTTGGTAAATATAAAAATAAATAACAAATAAAATAAAATAAAAATAACTAGCAGAATATTTTTAAACATTCCTAATAGTCATGTAAAAAGGAGTGAGGGAAAATCTAAATAAAAAAAATAATGTTTTAAAGCTCATTAAGTAAGTTCACTTATGAATTAACAATCTGATGATGACTGATCCATCAAAGATGTACTGTTAGATTTTTCTCCTCTTACATTGTTTGTTTCATTTAATGTACTACTTGTTATATTTAGTGATTTCTTAGCTAATTTGTCTAGTTCGGCTGCTGCATCAGTAGGATACTCAGTAGGATAATCTGTAGGATGATCAAATGATAATGATTTTGAACCTGACAGTTCCCCTAAAACAAATAATAATATTTTTATCCACTTAATAAAATAGTACTAATAAAAAAACAAAAACATTTACCAGTTGTTTTTGTTGGTATTGGACTCTGGTTAGATTTTTTATGTAATAAAGAATTGAAAAAGTTAGCTAACACTCCTTCGCCAGGAGTAGCTGTGTTATTAGACTTAACTGGATCAATCTAAAATATTATTAATTAATTTTAAAGTTTATTAATAAATATAAAGTATATTAAACACATAGTTATTTAAAATCTAAAATATTTTCTAATATAACATTTCCTAAAAACATATACATAAAGAACAAATACTAAACAAGTCTAGAGCAATTTGTTCAAAAAAAATAAACTAAATATATACACTATGATCAATAAGTACTGGGAATGAGTCAATAAAACAAAATTGTGTTAATTTTCTTCCAAATTTATTTTATCTCCTTCAAAATAGCTTCCATTTGAAGCGATACAAAGATGCCAGCGCTTAACCCAGTCATCCATACAGCGCTGGAAGGCCTGAGCCGGAATGGCCTTGAGTTCCTTCGTCACATTCTCTTTGATCGTATCCAGCAACTCAAAATGACGTCCACGAAGCGGCAATTTCAGTCGGGAGAACAAAAAAAAGTCACACGATGCTAAGTTGGGTGAATACGGTGCTTGTTGAAGTTGTACAACGTCGTGTTTCATCAAATAGTCTTGTGCTAGCTTGGCTTTGTAAACTGGTGCGTTGTCGTGGTGTAAAATCCAATTTTTGGCCGCCCACAAATCTGGCCGTTTACGACGCACTGCATCCCTCAAACGTTTCATAACTCCGATGTAATACTCCTTATTAATGGTTTGGCCGTTTGGCAAGTATTCGAAGTACACTACACCACAGTAATCAAAGAATACAGTGAGCATAACCTTGATTTTTGAGCGACTTTGGAGTGCTTTTTTTGGATTTGGTTCGTGGGGAGCACGTCATTCCGATAATTGCTGACTAGTTAGCACATCATACTCGTAGACTCATGTCTCGTCGTCAGTTATGATGCGTTTCATGAATGTAGGGTCGTTGGATGACTCCCAAATCATTTCTTCGGCCACACCCTTTCGATGCTCTTTTTGGAGTAAATTTAACTCCTTTGGCACCAACCGTGCTGCAACACGTCGCATGCCCATAATGTCGGAAATTATGTGCATGGCCAATCCGTAAGAGATTATTACTTCATCAGCAACGTCTCTTATACTCACATGACGATTTTCTAAAACTAATTTCTTCACCAATGCGACGTTTTCTTCAGTATTTGATGTTGATGGTCGACCTGCCCGCGGCAAATCCTCACACACCTCATGGCCACTTTTGAACTCTTTATACCATTCTTATGCTTTGGTTTTCGATATAATAGAGTCCCCATATGTTTTCTTCAACATTTCCAATGCATCTTTGCACGTAATATCGTTGGAAACACAAAATTTCAAACAGATTTTCTGCTCTACTGATTTATCCATTATAAAATGCGACGAAATAAAAAAATTTATCTATTGTTTACAGCTGTCAAACACATAATAATGATGCGATACCGCTCAAAATTATCAGAGACATCAAATAAGGGTGTACCAACTTGAGAAAAAAAAATTACAGGATTTGACAACCGCGCGCTGTTTAAATGAGTCATTCCTAGTACTTATTGATCATAGTGTAAGAAGTTATAAATTTAGATGGTATATATACATTTTTTTTTTTATTCCAACTACTTGGAATAAATTTAATTTAGTAATTACTAAATTAATATTTGAAAAATTAATTATAATTAATTTAATATTTGTTTTAAAGTTAAAATATTTGTAAAATAATATTAACATACTTTTTTAGTAGGAGACCCCTGACCTTGGCTTGTTAGAGACATCCTTCTTTCTCCAGGTTTAGATACTCCTGTTAAAGATCTCATCACAGAATCTTGTCTTGGTATACCAATAGCTGATTGCTGGCCAGCACTTTGGTTTAATAAACCTAACTGTTTATTTAAAAATATTTGTTCGTCTTCTGCTTGAACTTCATGATCTTTAGTAAGAGCCTTAAATCATGAATAATTAATATTTTTTTAATTTATAGAATATTTTTACATATTACTAACTTTCCTAGTGATAACTTTACTAATTACTGAATTGTAAAATTCATCGTGCCTAATTGTTTGTAAGTTGTCATAAAGAATACTTATTTTCTTCATACTATCCCAACCTGAAGGTCTAAAAAAGTTTATAATTTAAGTATATTTAAATTTTATAAAAATTAGTATTAAAACTTACATAAATACAGCATCTTTCTCAACAATAAGCGCAGGAGTTTTAAAAGGAAAATTATAAATTTTATGAGTTAAAAATTTATACAATAAATCACAGTTCTTGTCCTCTTTAGCTGAAGTGTAAAATAATGAAGCTCCATATTGAAGACAAAATTTACGTATTGATTGTTGTATATAATCAAAATGTTCATCCTTAAAATCATTTTCTTTTTCCAAAATACTGATGTAATCAGTCTATAAAAAAATATAGAAGTAATACAATAAAATAAATATGCTTTTAAAATGTTTTACCCACCATAGTAACAACTATAATTACATCAATACCAAGGTTTCTTGTAAGGACACCTTCACCGAGTGCATGTTCCCATAATCCATTTTTTTCTCCTATATTTTCCTCTGTATATTCATTCCATTTTTTGATACCTGGAATAAAAACAAAAAATTACCTAAGTACCAACATGTTTAATAAAAAGAAGATACATTAAGTTATAGTTTATTAATTCAGTAGTTGATTTTTATTAGAAGTGTCTATAATCTAATTTGTAGAAAAAATAATTACACTTTTGTCTGTACTCCAATAATTCTTCACTAGGAATAGGTAAACTGTCAATATAATCTTGTAATAATGTAGCCCAACTTTCAAGTTGATCCATAATATTCCAAGGAGTTTTCATAGACACTACAAACATTATTGAAGTATTTTTAAAATTTTTCTCAGATAGAGCAAATTTTAACAAAAAAGAATATTTTGGATTTCCATCTTGAACCCAAACATTTAATTTTGTATGATCTGAAACAATCAGTTTTGATTTTTATGTTAAAAAACAATATTTTTATTAAATTTACTGACATATGTTGAAAATTGAATACAATATAAATAAATTAAACAATTATTATGCTCATTGTAACTTAAATAAATTATTTAGGTTTATACCAATATATTTGGTTTATTCCATGTGAAAAAGGACAAGAATACTTTCACGGCTTCTTTGTTAGCCGTAAAAGGCGACTATAATGAAGTTGTCAGGTTCACAGCCAGTGTAAAATTTTGTCAAAAATTTTGAGGAGTTCTTAACAGAACTTATACAGATTGTCTTATTTTGAATGTACACAAGGACAACAGATATAATGAAATAAAGTAGTTAGATATGGAGAAGAGAAAGAGTATAGTGTGATTTAAGGAATACCTTAAATTAATTTAATTTAAGGAATAAGGATGTGAACAAAAATAAAAATTTACATTTTTATAAGATACTTAAAAGTGTATGACGATGCGGTGATAGGTGAAAATATAAAAAGAAATATCAATAATGTGAGGAGACAATGTGAAAGAATACACGAAGGGTATGATTAAGTGGAAAGAATGAGATTAGAAAAAGAAACCCGAATTTAGCAGTATCGTATGATCTTGCTGTGGTTAATACTTATTTTAGAAAGAATGAAGAACATTATATAATTTATAAGTGAAGGAATAATAGACCACAGTTTGATTATTTTATGTGGAAGATAAAGAATGTAAAGTAAATAAAAGATTGTTAAGTTACCTCAGGCAAAAGTGTAACTACACTACTTAGACTGATGGTAATGAAGTTATAGTGTAGTGGAGAGTATACAAAAACAGAAAGAACACATGAAAAAAATCGAGGAACCAGAGGTGGAAATTGAAAGGAGAAAATGAAAAAGAGTTTGTAAAAGAGAGGACGGAGTGATATATCGAGGGAGACATAAACAATGTGTGGAATTGATTTGTTAGTTGTGTAAAGAATACTGCAAAGGAGATTGTTGGTGAGAGTAGGAGTAGAATGCCAGGAAACATTAAAGTCCATTTAAAGGCATAAGAAACATAATTGGAGAGACCTTGCACAACTTAAGAAAACAAAAATTATTCTTCTTGTATGTAGCTCAAATATTGAAAACATAGAAAACCTCACAAATAAATACATAGATACAATTCTTAAACAAAAAAAATCCATATAAATTTAGAACAGATAACAAAAGTTGAACTACTATCAGTAGCACCCACGAATCTTCAATTCAACATTAGCTTAGAACTAGCAGATTAATGCATCAACTTATAGAAGCCATCTATAAGACATTTTCAACAGACATAAATACACAACACATTTCTACATAAATGTATCTAAATCAAACCAAAAAGTAGGATTAGCATTAGATCAAAACAACATATTCTTAAAATATAAAGCAAAATTAGAATGAAAACTCAATATATACAGCAGAAACTTTATCTACCTACAAAGCAGTAGAATACTTAGTTAAAAATAAACAAACCTACAAACAACGTAATTCTCAGCAACTCGCTTTACTCATTTAAAAATCTTTACAAAGAGTTCAGATATATCTCAACTTATACTAGAAAAAGTTGTAAAATCCAAACAAAAAGAAATTAAAATCAACTTTATATGGTTTGCCAGACCACTGCAACTTATATATAAATAAAAAAACAAACCAAGAAGTAAAAAACGCTATAAAAAAACTGATACACCACCAACAATGAACACATCAACCTATATTGGGATAAAAAAGAAATAAAATGAAAAATAGACATCTTATGAGCAAATCTATGGATAAAACAAAATACAAAACTTAATGAAATCAAAATGCCCCTAGGAAAACATAAAGCTATTGAGAACTCAGATAGGACATGCAAAATTAACTCATTGCTACTTTATGGAGAGAATAGAACCACGGGTTTGTGAAACATGCAGAGTGAGGATTACTCTCAAGCACATGATTACAGAATGTAGAAAATATGCTGAAGAAGATAAAATCTCAAACCTTAATACATATGGAATCAATTTTAGGGGCAAATCCAGAAGACAATACAAAATGTATAAAATTCTTGAAAAACACAATAAAACTCTTAGACAAAATATAAATATACACTAACTGACAATACAGAAAGTAAATCTATTGATAGTCATAATTGACTATCAATAGATTTGACAATATCAATAGACTATGACAGCAATGTCATAAAAACTAATTAGCTACCTGTATTTGTAATACCTTGTGTATTATACATGTATATTAACTCAAAAATTTGAAACTTTAAATGTTTATATCTAATAAACAATTAAAGTTATATTAAAAATTCAAATGTCATTTGCTATTAAATTAAAAACTCAAACATTTTATTAAATTCAAAATATGTGTTCTCATTTAAAAAAACTCAAGTTAATGTTTTTTAACCTTGAAGAGATGAAAAATATCATGGTTTTACTACATATTACTGTAGTGTTTTTTGAATGAAACAATATTTTCCTTATCAAAAATTTAAAATTTTCAATAGTTACTGAGTAAATGAGTGTCTTATCCTTAATGAATCACCCTGTATGTATATTATTTTTTTTCATTAAATTTAAATTATAAATACTAGTTTTGTAAATATCGGTAACTAAAAATGTAATTAATGGCTATAGTAGCAAAAGTTATAAACTTTAATAAAAAATTTTGCCTCATCAGTAAATAATAGATTTATTAAAGAATCAAGAAAAATCGTCAATGAATATCATAAATAATAATGGATCATAATAAGAGTCCTGTGAAACACGATACTCTCTTATATTCCATAAACACAACTTATAGCACAAGCCTCTTAGACCAATCACTACATATGTTTCCAACAATAGAAATCTAAAGGCAAAGTCACTAATGAGTCTTTATTTATGATTTAATCATCAACAACCATAAAGATAAATATTACTCATACTTAAAATTATTTACCTTCTTTATATTCATCTCTAATATCAATATATGCATACTCTAAACCAATTCCTTTTGTCAGGTCATCAATGCCTTGAAGTTTAGCTACAAGAGTAGTTTTACCTGATTCTTTGTCACCTGAAATTTAAAGTACATAATTTATACAAATATTCTTTATTTTGCTTTTTGAATTATTATAAATTTTATAATTACCAATAATAATCATTGATTTATTCGTGGGTAGACGGGTCCCTCCTTTTTCTTTCAATGAAATTAACATTGAGTTCCTTTAATTAAAAAGCAAATACAGTAGTTTTTACAATTAAAACAAAAAATAAAAAGTTAATTATGGAAGATATCTTTATTAATAATGACTAGATAAATATATTGTCTTACCATAAATTTTCTTCTTCTTGTGTTGTCATTTTCAAAAATAATAATTTAATAGTCAAATACCCTAATTATGATTATAAATAAATTTAATAACATAAGTATAAAATAGTATGCACTTTTAAAATTAAATTTTTTACATAAAAAGATGTTGTTCCTCTAATTTATTTGCAATTATAAGATAAGTGCCGTTAAAATATAACTTTGTTATCAGTTAATACCCTGAACTGTGATACTAATGTGAACTAACCATACGACTGATTAACAGCACTACACAAATCGCATGAAGCCCCTAAAAATTCATTGTGCGGTCTACTACTTTAATAACAGGCCGCAATCTTAGTCTACTAATACTTTCTAAAAACAAGACTTCTTAAAAAAAAATATATATTACTTATATGTAAAATATATTTTATATTTGAATTGACTTATTCTTATAATTTTAACTAAAATGTTTTTTAGCTTCGATACGAAGATGAGAAGGTATTAATTTTATCATGATGTGTTTTTTTTTTGTTTTATCTGTTGCCACTTTTACTCAGCTCTCACTGGACCGATTTCTTTCAACAATACGTCAAAAGATCACAAATCGTATTTAGTTGAAGACATTCCCCTTAAAAATTTTCCCTCGTTCCCCGCAAATGGGGAAAATTTCCAAAAAAATTACAAATTTAAAAATCGGTAAATTTTGTTTTCTTAAAACTTCCATAACTTTTTCAAAAATCAACAAATCAACATAATTTTTTTTTATACTAAAACCTTAGATATTTCTCTTTCATTTTATATCATTTTTTTGAAAATCTAACACTTAACCTACTCACTGGGGAGGATTTAAAATAGCAACTTTTTTACAAAAACTAACTTTTTCAACTTAACTTTTGAAAATGTTCCGGAAATACTGCGTCCTATCAACATATATAAAATTAAAGCTTATGTCATGTACTATAAAATTATAAAAAAAAATTTGTCCCGATGACCTATCTTTTATGCGCAAAAGTATAACGTATTCAAAAATATGTTATAAAATTTTATGTTAAAATCCTGGGTTTTAACTTTTACTTTGAAATGTATTAATTTTTTTACTCTATTTCTTTGTGCTACTACCAGTCTCTAACATTCCAAATTTATTCGTAACATGTTGCTATATAAATCATAAATCTAAAATTATTTGTAAAAATTTATTGTAAATAGTAATTATAAAATTTCCTGATCGCATATATTTTTAACAATACCATGTTTTCTATTAATGATGTCAATTTCAAACTTGTTAATTGAGCTAAATGTTATGGTAATAAATTCATTATTTTTTTTATTATTAATTTTCACTTAAAAGACAAAAAAAAGTAGGTTAAAAATTATTACTTTTAACATGTTAAAAATCAATTGAAAATATTTAAAAAAAATGTTAGAAAACAATTATTTATAAAAATTATAATATAATTTTTACTTATATATTATATTATAATATATAAGTAAAAGAATTACTAATCTGGATATAATTAAGGAAATAGAAGTTTATGTTGCTTTTGACACTTTTATATATATTGACACGACTTACGTCGCAAAAATGTGGTCGACACTGGTTATGAGGGTAGAGACCCGTGGGCCGTTTATTAAATGAGCGACAACAGGTTATTTTAACAAAAAAATAAAACAAACCGAAAAGATAAACACAGTAATAATAATCTTCGCATAATATCGCGGCACTTTCGATGGCATCGACGACGCGATGTCCGGCGTGTTCCTTGGACGGCAAATGGTTAGCAGCGTTGTAGGCGACGGTACGGATCGGTTGGTCGACATTGTCGCTTTCACAAAGGGAGGAAGACTCCCGCGCCATTTGCGGCGGGTCGTCGTCGGCCGTGCGGCATTTGCTGGACTTTGCACCATAGCGTATAACACGCGGTGTTGGTCAGTACTCATACTCATAGTAGGGCGACGGCTGATAAAGGTGGCACGAGTCGCGGGCCGTGTCAATATATTAAATTAAAGCTAATGTAATATACTTTATTATGAAAAAGAAAATTCCGATTTTATTTTGTCTTCACGGTGAAAATAGTTACCGAATGCTATTTTTGTGTGAAAATTCTCGATTTTATATTTTACAGTTTTCACTTTATAATGCTATAACTTATTGAAAAGTGTATGGATCAATACAATTTTTTTATGAGAAATAATATTTATATCCCTCTTTCATTAGACATACTTTTTTTTTTAAATAACACTATTTCCCTTTATATATTTATATATTATAAATATATATAGATATTTATTTAATCATATATTACACTTATAAATCATAAAACTTGTAATCAGAATATAAATAAGGAAATGGGAGATCATGTAGCTTTTGTAATTATCCACCAATTCTTAGAGTTATACACTATCTACAGATTTGCATCGAAACGTTACTTATGATAGTGATTTTAATCACTGTCACATTAAATCTATGCTGAACGTAACTATACCACGTCCCCACTGTGCTGGGTTTTTTTTTTATTAAAACATTATCCTTTTTTTTTACATTCTGTTCAACAGAGATGTTCAGAATTTCATCTTTGGTACTTTATAAAAGCTTCGTAAATATTAGAACATATAATCTATTTTGTAATTATTAACTCTTACTTATGTTGAGACTATTCGTTCTTTCAGTAGTCATTCATTTTAGTAGTTATATAATATTAAAAATGTTCATTACGTATAATTACTTTGTATATAATTTTTTGTATAGTTACTTCAACTTTTTAGTAATTTATTATGAAAAAATATTTCTGTAAGAAATATCAGGTGAAACGGTATTACTGTTCAATGATTTTAAATATAAATAGAAGTTATAGATATTCTAGGTATAGGCCAGTCAACAAAGGAAAAATAGTGGAAAAAATTCCCAACCAACATTTTTTTTTTTAAAAAGTTGAATTAAGACATGTATAATGACATACTAAAAGTCCTCATTGATTGGAATTGAGCTTTTTTTTTACAGCCTTGAAAAAGTTCAAAAATATGAGCTTTCTTAATTTTCTCAAAAAATATTACAAAACTTACAAAAAAAAGTTTTGTACAATATAATTGTTGTTTGGAAATGTACAATTTAGCGTTAGGTTGGATTTAAACAATATAGCGGTCAAATCAATTACCTGCTCTATCGGTTGTATCTTAATATACAAAACACTTTAATGATACTATAAATAAATAAGCTCACACATACACACATATGCATTTATAACATTGTATCTAATGTAAGTATAACATGATAAAAAGTAACCGTAAAATGGAAAAAAAATTTTAGTACTCATATTAAATGTAATGTAACTCGAAAAATATTTGTTTAAATGAAAAAATAAAACATATCTTTTTGTTTAAAATTGTCTTCTAAACAACTTTTGTACGAAACTTTTTTTTGTAAGTTAAATATTTTTTAAGAAAGTTAAAAAAGCTCATATTTTTGAACTTTTTCAAGGCTGTAAAAAAAAAAGCTCAATTCCAATCAATGAGGACTTTTAGTATGTCATTATACATGTCTTAATTCAACTTTAAAAAAAAAAAAATGTTGGTTGGGAATTTTTTCCGTCATTTGCCAAAAGTACTCCTTCGTTGACTAGCCTACTAAGGGTAGACTGGCTACTAGGAAATTGCTTCCTAGGTCACTATATTTGACATACATTTTATTAGTTTGTAACATTTGTTCTTAATTTTTTTTTTCTCATCGTTTCTTTTTGTGAAACAATATAAATATTTTTTGGAGTAAGCTGAATTGCTATAATAATTGAATCTTCTAGAATGTTGGCCTGCCAATCCATACCTGATTCTAGTTTCATTTAGAAGATATGGCATTATTTTTAGATATATTTTTCAGAAGTTGAAAATAACTACACAAATTCAATTACACCCAAAACTTGAAAAATGAAATTTAAAAGTAAAATGATCAAGAAATATAACAATTATCTTTTTTAATATATTTGATAGGTTATTATATTTTTACACATAAAATAAATGTGTGACGATAGTTTATGAACTATTTTAAAATTAAATTTTGGTTGATTCATAGTGTATATTACATTTACATACATGTAGCTCTTATATGTGTTTAAAATATAAATTCATTTACTTCAAAATGCCTTTTTTCTTTTTGAATCAAAAGTGCAATATAAGTAATTAATACTAAAAATTAAAAATTCAATAGCTGCAAACTATTATAAATTAACTTATTTAAGTAAAACACATGTTATATAAAATAAAAATACTTATATTAAATAACAAATATTTAAATTTTTTTCTAATATTTGAATGAATCATATGTATATATCTATAAATAAAAAAAACATAATACATAATTATAGGTAAATAACATCCTCAGTATTTTTTCCATTACTATCACACAAATTATTTAGTAAATTGCAACATATTTTTAATTTTGCATATTCGTCATCAGAAATTGTTGCATTTTGCATAATATTTTTTAAGATAATTATATCAGTTTTTATTTTGTCCAATGTTTTATCAATTTGCCCTTTATGAAAACATTTGTGTTTAAATTTACATTTGTTAAGCTGATCGAAATAAAACATAAAGTTATCCGCAGAATAAGGTTCATCAGTTTTCATTTCCAAATAATTTGTGATGACAGTTCTAACTTTAGGTTGTTTAAAAAGCATTGTTATCAAATTGTTTTGTTTTCCAGTAACACTAACAAAGTAGACAATGGTTTCAACTGTCCATTGTTGGACTAATGGATGTGAGTCAAACAAATATTCATGAAATATATCTACTACCATTTTTTCATGAATTGATGTAATATGAGGTAATGCTGTCCTCAGAAGTCTAAGTCTATAACGCTTGGTTTCAGTAGTATCACTACTAATATGTCCATTGTTAAAAAATTTTGATACCTAAAAACTAAAGAACATGTCATTATTTTAATTTATGAATATTTTATTATTGAAACTTTACTTTTGGTATGACTTTCTTTAATAAAATATCTGAATTGATTGTGACTTCGACTAGAGCACTAATTAAACTAGCAGGATGATCATCCTTGATAATATCCCATAAATGACCAACATCATCATTTAAATGATGAATTTTATTTTGATTTGAAATATTTATTAATAATTTAACCTAGAAAATTGTTCTTTATATTAAAATTCACAAATACCTCATTCAAAATTAAACTAATTTCTAAAGTATTTAGCTCCACATAATATCAAAGATAATTTTTTACTTTCTATTTTAGATTTTTTATTTATGTTATTATTAAGTCTATATTTTTAACTGCAACAGTGAAATAACTGTACCACGAAAACTCATTAAAATATTTAATGAATTTAAAAGATAAAACTGAGGTATACATCATTTATTGATCTCTAATAAGATTATCAAGAATTACTAAACATATTAAACATTATGTGAATAAATATTATTGTTAATAAGTTCCATACCAATTCAGAAAATTTGTACTTCTTTGACAGAGTTGGAACATGGAGTATTCCCAAAGTAGTTCTTAAGTTAGGATTATTTAATTGTGGAAAATTACTAGCCAAATTCCTTTTATCAGTTAACATGTTAAAATGTCTTTTCAACAACGAATCAACATAAATATGTTGTGGACATTGTGTAAAACAAGGCAAATTCATTAACTCTTCAAACAATTTAACTAACTTCAAAAATTGGGATTCAGACACTTCTTGTGGCAAATACCTTTGAAAAGTAATCTTTAAGCTTAAATTATTAATTTTTCAATATTTATAAGTAAATTACACACCTCATTATAATGATCCATAAGTCACTTGCAAATAGTGCAGGCAAAAGCTGTGTTTGAAGTAAATTATTTATAATAATTTCTTCAATTCTTTCAAACAAATCTACATCAGTTACCAAGATAACAGAAGCCAAATTAATTAATAATTGTTCATAAAGATCTATATTATTGCAACACAAGGCCCACTCAATATTATTAATAAGTTGAAAAATTGTACTTATTAGCTGACATGAATGTTGCACACTAGGATTTTTCAAAAAACGTTTCAGTAAGATTATTGCAATATACATAGCAGATATTTTATTTTTATTGTTATTACTTAATAAAATATTTTGGCAACTTTTATGAAACAACTAAAAATAAAAAAATAGAACAATGATATGTTAGTATTGACTACTATAAAAGATAAATAAAATTTTGTTAAAATAATAATAGAATTTAGCATCATAAACTGAGAGTCTATGTAAATTATATATTTTTTTCCTTCTAAAGGTTAAGCCTTGTCGTATAACCAACTGGATTGGTATATATACTCGGGAAATGTTAAGTCCTGTGGTAAATTATATAAAGAACAAAAAATAAAATTTCACATTTTTATAAGATATTTAAAAGTGTGTGAGAATGCAATGATAGGTGGAGATATGAATCGACATGTAGGTAATGGATATGAAAGAGTACATGGAGGGTATGATTAAGTGGGAAGAATGAGGTTTGCAAGTGAGTGGAGTGACTATAATAGATAGAATAAGGAACGAGCATATAAAAGGGAGTATAGGTGTAATGTCAATCGTGGATTAGATGAGAGAAAATAGACTTAGATGGTTTGGTCTTGTAGTGAGGAGAGAAGTATCGGAAGCTGTGAGAACAGTTATAGAAATGAATGTTGAAGGAAGAAGAGGTAGAGGAAGACCAAAAAAGAAATGGAGAGATGTTTTTGAATGCTATATGAAGACAGCTGATGTGAGCGTACAGGATGTGGGAGATCGTATCATATGGAAGTATAGGATAAGAGTGGCTGACCCCAAGTAGTTGGGATTAAGGCGAGGAAGAAGAAGAAGATGAAGAAGAGAAGATTTTTAAGTAATTTTTTCCTATATATGGTCATCTGCACAATATTATTATTATTACAAATATGTATTTTAGAGTAAGATTTTACTTAATCAGTAAGAAAAAGTCTTTTTTTTTATAAAAGCACTGAAGCTGATAATTTAATCTATCAATATATCTGTAAATATGAAACATGCAATTTAAATTAAGATAGGTAGATAGGCATATTTCACAGGCCAATTTACCTATTTACCCATATATGTATAACACCAAGAGTAATATTTGATAAAAGTGGACCTTTTGCTTCTCAGATATTAAAATTTATATCTATCATTCTTTTTAAAATTACTATATAAATGATATTTTCATGTAAATGTCTGAACACTATAATACTCACTTCTATAAAATCATCACCAGATATTAATAATAGTTGGTCAGAAAATTTTAACATTTTATCCTTGAGAATAATAACATTTTTCTGTGTATCTAACAGCCAATAACTAAATATTAAAAATAATAATTATAATATTAACTATTAACATACTATATTGATTGATCTTAAAACAATGTCTTTACAAATGGGAGAAGGAATTAAAAATTATTTTGTCATTTTTAACTAAATTTTTATGTTAAAATAAAAAACCAATATAGGTACGGTTTTTGTTTTTAGAAGGGTGAGTATAGATACTGCTCATGCGATAAAAATTAGTTTTTCTATGAAGTGAATTATTTAGTTAACGAGGTATTCCAGTTGATTATTTACCTCTTGTACCCAGTAGTTAAAGATTCATCAATTTTGAGTTAATTGATGATTTAATACAGTTAGTATAATTCATCATTAGTGCCTCACCACTACAAGGCCTCATTTCTACCATTAACGTTTTAAATTGTATAATGATTTTCTATGAAGCCTTACTGTTATCATTCATGTTTTTACAGGTTTTACTTAATTGAATCCCCAATTTTCACAAAATTGAATTCACAATTTTCAAATTCCTTCTTGTGGTATATCAATTTTGTTACCACAAGAGCCTACCATTGCAGAGCTCAGTATTATGGTAAGGCTATAAATTGTTTACTGAGTTTGCCTAGTGCCATAAAGGTTTCCAAATGTCAACTTTATCTTTTGGTATACTACTTTATTGCAAGTTTTTCTCACTTGATATGGAAGATTTATATATTGTTAGCAAGCAGGAATATTAGAAAACAGTAAACCTAACCTAACAGTTCCAAAAGTTGGAAATGACTAGTTGTGGATGATGTATGATTTTACCCTCACTGATCAAAGGTCTATTTTAAAAAAAAAACTATAAAGGAAAACAAGACAAAAAGTTTTTGAATGTATTCTAAATTCCAAAATATACACTTAAAAACCCTTTTTTTTTTTTATTCCCCTTCATGATTTTTTGTAAAGAGCAAGTTTCTAAACATTTTATATGACTCATTTGATGATAAGTTATTGCATCAGAACTAAATTATTTAAATAAGTATATATTCTTTTTAAACAAATAAAAATATTTAAAAAAATGTATGTAGATACCTATTTAAAAATATCAATATGTCCAACAAGTTATTGTATGATTTCAACAAGCGCCCGTGAGAACAAATTTTAGTTAATACACTTATCATGTATGTAGACAACTTCATAGGTTTTTCATCTTCAGATTGAAAAGATAAAACATTTTCTTTAATTTTAGAGCATAAAAAGTTGATAGGTTCATCATTATTTATCACTTTTTTTAAATAAGGAGAAAACTTTTGCAATATGTTAATATATATTTTCCAATTGGCTGTCATAACTTTGTTGCTAACACTATAAACTGACTCTGCTCCATGCCATATTAGATTTAAAACTACAAAACATAACAACAATAATAAATATTAAATTATTATTACAATAAATTAAATAAAGAGTTTTCATAAATTATCACAACTGATCATTACGAGAAATATTTTTTTTTAGATTTAATGTATTTCTGAGTAATATGTATTTTAAGATTTAATAACTTAAAGAAATAATTTTTTTTCATAAAGCATAGTATTTCAATAAAATTTTAATCAGCACCAATTTCATTATTTCTGGAACAACCTAAAAAAATATAACTCCTTTGTTTCTGTGGCCAGTCCATTTTTCAATGTATTTGATTAATAAATGAAAAGTACAGCATTACATTTTCAAATAAATTAGGATAAACTACATACTTTTTAAAACCAATTCAATTTCTTCTTTGTTGTTCATATTAAATTTAATATTTTCTATTATATTGAAAAATGAAGTCTGTAAATCTGAAGCTTTTTGAAATAATTCTGTAAGATGTGGACGTACACATTCAAAAAGGTCTCCATATATCAAATTACTTTCAGAACAATGTTTAAATGATATAATAACAGCATGCTCATAAGTTATCAAATCTGATATTATAGATACTGATATATTGAAACCTTTTTCAATTAACTCCAAAGATAGTTTACCAGATTTTAAAATTTCAATACAACTCTAAAAAAAGCAAATTTAAGTCAATGTTATGATTTTTTTTCAGGAAAAAATAACTATATTTTTACAATAATTAATTCATTAATGGAAATTTCTTTATTCCCATTATGATTTGTATCTTTGACAATACATTTGATTCTTTCCAACTTCTAAAATGAAAAAAAAAACGAAAAATACATTAATTAAATTAAATTACCAATTATATTTCCAAAATTTACTTCGTTTAAATCTGAATAATTAAATGTATCTAAGAGAAATTCTTCAGTACTATCGTCCAACATAATTACAATTGGTGATAGAAAATAAAAATTTTAATTTATGAAAGAAATAAAAATATTTTATAAAACTTTTCAATAAACAATCTTTTAGATTAGGATATTTTTAATATTTAATTAATTAAAAGATTGGGACTAAGGGGTACTGATCTAAGTCAATATTATACTTAAGTTAATATATTTTGTATGAAGTTAAGTGTACTTCAAATTTTACTCTAGTCCTAAAATTTTATAATCTTAATTAATGATAAAAAAAAGGCGGCAAAACAATTTATTATCAAGAATTTGTAGATTTGCCTTATCATGATAGCAACGTGAAAGAAGTGACACCATTGCTATAATTAGTTAATACCATAAACATACAATTATTATGAGTTGTAATGAATAATAAAAATAATATGTAATAAAAAGTTTTAAATATAGGTGAAATTTGTACATAATAAAAAATTAGTTATTTAAATCAACAAATCGTATGATAAAATATCTTCATTACAATTGTTGTCGTTATTATAGTGATTCAAAAAAATTCATTTTTTGTAACACATAATTAGTTGACGTATAATGTATTAAGAGGTGTATTGTAATAATATTTAATATATATTGAGCCAGCCAAGACTACGCTAAGAAACATTGGGTCACCACTATCTTATTGATTATATTTTGAGTATAAATATATTTTTATAATCTTATTTTGAGAAATCAAGAGTGCATTTTGAGAATATCAAAATCGGCTACAGGATATTCCCAAAAATATTAGTAAAAATCTAGTTTATTACGAAAATAATTAGATATGATTAGAGGTCGGATTTATATTCTCTTAAAATCCTTAAAATATGATGTTTTTATGTCACATAAAATAGGCAATATATTCTCTTAATATTCTTTTAAAATACCAAATATATGATGTTTTATGTCCTTAAGTAAGCAAAATATTCTTTGAATATTAAAAAAAAATTCAATTTCAATTTATTTTTTATTAATTTGGTTTTAAATATATTGATCATAGTCCAAGTTTACATGCCTACTTCTAATAGCAGTGAGAAGGAAATGGAAGAAGTCTACGAAGGAATAGAAAAAGTCATTGAAAAAGTCAAAGGAGATGAAAATCTTATCATTATGGGTGATTGGAACGCTATAGTAGGAAAAGAAAGCCTAGGGCACATAATAGGAAATTATGGTCTAGGAAACCGAAATGAAAGAGGAGACAGATTAATAGATTTCTGTTCAAAACACAAATTATTAATAACAAATACCTACTTCAATCACCATCCAAGAAGAAGATATACATGGAAAATGCCGGGAGACATAGGTAGATATCAAATAGATTATATTATGGTCAAGGAGAGATTTAGAAACCAAGTAAAAGACTGCAGAAGCTACCCAGGAGCAGACATAGATAGTGACCATAACTTATTAATGATGAAAAGTAACCTAAAGCTCAAGAAAATAGTATCAACAAGAAAAAATGATCGATGGCAAATAAATAAATTAAAAGAAGAAAAGGCAAATGATAAGTTTAAAGAACTTACGAACAATATAAATATAAATGAGAGAACCGATATAAACTATAGGTGGGGTATTATAAAGAGCACAGTGACAGAAGCAGCATCAAAAACTCTGAAAGAAAATAAAAAGACAGTACCTAGGAAAGAATGGATAACAACAGAGATAGCAAGTATGATAGAAGAAAGAAGAAAGCTTAAGAATGGAACTACTCTTGAAAGTCAGCGGAAATACAGAGAACTAAGAAATCGTGTAATACGAAAGTCAAAAGAAGCAAAGGAAAAATTTTTAGAGGAAAAGTGTAAAGAAATAGAGATACAAATGAGGAATGGTAGCAGAGATGCAGCGTATAAATCAGTTAAAAATTTTTTTACCGATTATAAACCAAAAAGGGGGGCAATAGAGGATAACAACGGAGTAATTATTTACGAGGACAAACATAAAGGTAACATATGGAAGAAGTATCTAGAACAGCTATATGAGGGACCAGAACTCACGGGACAAGAAATAGAGCATGAAGAAGTAATGGATAATAACTCAAATTATAGTGTACTGAGAGAAGAATTTGATAAAGCACTTAGAGATCTAAAAAAGAAGAAGGCTGCAGGAATTGACGAAATCCAAGCAGAACTTTGGAAAGAATCTGGCGAAAACATGCGCAGTGAGCTTTTTAAACTCATAAAGGAGATATTTAACTCAGGAAAACTTCCTGTAGACTTTACTAAGTGTAAGATTATTCCTATTCCGAAAAAAGCAACCGCAAACAAATGTGATCAGTACCGTACAATTAGCTTGCTGACACATGTGTCAAAAATACTGACAATAATTATGTCAAGAAGAATGGAATATAAGATCGAAGCCATATTGTCAGAAGACCAGTTTGGATTCAGAAAAAACATGGGTACAAGGGAAGCAATACTGGCTTTAAGAATAATTATCGAGAAAAGAATTAGAAAAGATAAGCCTACATACATAGCTTTTGTGGATATAGAAAAAGCGTTCGACAATGTCAACTGGGCAATAATGTTCAAGATGCTTAAAAAAACAGGTATAGAATACACTGAAAGGAGACTACTCTTTAATCTATACCAGAAGGAAACAGCTGTTATACGATTTGGCGAAACTGAGGAAGAAGCACGCATAAGAAAAGGAGTAAGGCAGGGTTGTACTCTCTCACCTAGCATATTCAATGCATACATCCAGGAGGCAATTAACATAATAAGAGAGAAAATACATTTGGGTATAAAGATAAATGGCAGGAAAATCGATATGCTACGGTTCGCAGACGATATAGCAGTCATAGCTGAAAATGAAGAAGATTTGCAAAGGATGCTAAGGTGTATGGAAGAAACTCTGCTCAATGAACTGAGCATGAAAATAAATACGAAAAAGACCAAAGTTCTCGTATGCAGCAGGAGCAATAATATTACGACAAGAATACATCTGCAAAATAACCAAGAAATAAAGCAAGTAGAAGAGTTCGCATACTTGGGAAGCATAGTAAGTAAGGATGGCAGAAGTAAAAAAGAAATAGTAAAGCGAATATGCCAAGCTAAGATAGCATTTAACAAAAAGAGAGGACTTTTTACTTCAAAAAATATTAGCATACGTACCAGAATATATCTCCTGAAGACATACGTATGGAGTATAATGCTGTATGGCAGTGAGACGTGGACGATTGCCAAAGAAGAGCGAAGAAGAATAGAAGCTTTCGAGATGTGGTGTTTCAGAAGAATGCTCAAAATAAGTTGGACGGGCATGGTAACAAACGAGGAAGTATTAGAAAGAATGTCCGAGAGAAGAACTTTATGGAGCAGTATCAAGAAAAGGAGAAATGAATGGATTGGACATGTATTGAGACATGGTGGGTTGCTAGGATTGATTATAGAAGGCTGCGTGGAAGGAAAAAATGCTAGGGGAAGACCACGAATGGAATATATGCAACAAATAATAGAGGACCAAGGATGTACTTCTTATGAAGAGACAAAGAGGAAAGCAAGTAACAGGGAAGAGTGGTGAATTGCTACAAACCAATCTCAGGATTGAATACTGAAGAAGAAGAATTTAATTAATTTTACAATAACAATTAATTATTATATATTGTTCAATGTGTTCCGGTGTCATTTTAGTACGCCGGTTTGTAAGAATATTTTTGTAGATGCTGAAAGATCGTTCGACATCAACCGATGTTACTGGAGAATATTGCAAGTCGGCTACCATAATCGGTGAATAATTTTCCGGAAGTTGTACTGTGTTATTTCCACTAAAAACTTGTCCAATATTTTTTAAAAATTTGTATCCTTTGTTTTTTTGTTGAAGTTGCAATATTTTTGTTTGAAAGCGGTGATCCCGGTACTGGTTGCTGGGCTGATCTCTGTTCTAGCTGCAGTTTTAAAGTAGCAGACACTGACTGGAGGGTTAATGAAGATGGATCTGCAGGGGTAGAATGATTATGTGCTTCAGGGCTTTCTAAACTTGCACTGTGTAATCCTAATGGACCACAAGTAACAGTTTTCTTTGGAATTTCAATATCACTACCGTTCTTAGAAGTTTCAGCTTTTAAAAACTTGGTTAATGTGTTACGAAGCTGCCCTTCAAGTACTTTCCTTTTTTCATTTCTTTTTCTTTTGGCACTTCCAGAATCATATTTTCTACCAATATCTGGATTGCGGGAAGCCATTGAAAAGTCTAACATGAAAAAACCAAATTATCTTAAAATTCAAATAAAAAATTACCCTTTTTATTATCATTTATCAATAAACCATTTTTTTAATTTTTTTAAAATTTCATGAAATGAATTTTTGTTAAATATTTTATTTTAGTGATAATTGAAAAAAGTTAAATTTCATTTAAAATGGAAAATCGATTTAACATGAACCTAAAACTGAAATGAAAACATATTTATAATATATAAAACTTTATAAGTCAATAAAGAATGAACTATTTTTAATTTTATACAACATAGGGTGATCGTTGAAAAAAAATATTTAACAATAAATAAACTATTACTGTACAATGTACATGTTATATTAATTTATTTAGCATAAAAAAATTACATAATGTATAATTGCATATAAAACAAAATTGAGGAGCGTTTACCTCAAATTATCAAGTTATTTAAATGAGTTATTTAAAATTTAGCTTAAAATTGTGGTTTGGGTAGGAATTCACAATAATTGAAAAACAAAAAATATGTCAAAACTAATAAATTCTTCGCTTTGTTTAGATTCTAAAAAAAATAATTTCCCTCTATTTCTTAAGGAATGAAATTTTTAATTTTGAAAATATCCTTTACTTAAAAAATTCAAATTTAAAACCATACTAAATAGGTAGTAATTTATTGTATATTAAATATACACAGTTTTAATTTAATATTTATTATGTTATTATAATAATTGTATTCTGTAATTCGGTAAATTTTTAATTAAATTTTAGTTAACTTCAGATAATTAAAATGTTGAATAATTTACCAAAAAATACTTCTTAGAATTTCTTTTAATGTGCACGCTTTGTCGTGGACAGTTATGCGCCAGCTCACCACAATCAAATAATTTTTATCATATACAATAGTTTATTTAAAAACGTTATCTTGATTACCAAAATACACTGTGTAAACAACTGGCTGTTAACATTATCACCACAATTTACTACGCGCTATTGGCTCAATTATTTAATCACAATATAACGCAT